TGCTTCAAGTCCTCTTGAGAGAAGATCTCGCCAGAATCCGAAACGAACACATCCAGGCCGAGTGCTTGCATGGTTCGTAGGTGCTGCTTGGCTCGCTCCTTGAACTCCTCTGATATGCCTTCCTGTTTGCTGGGCCGGCCGACCTGAGACGATCCACTCGAGCGATCCCCACGAGGGCTCCTCGAGGATGTTCGACCGCCTGCGGACGATTCGGCGTTTGGCCCACTGTCGGAGCTCGAGCGAACCCCACTCGGACCATTGTCGGAGGACGATCGACCGCCTGCAGATCCGCCGGCACTCGGACCGAGCAGAAAGCCTCTTCGCATTACGGCAGGTCAATCTATTCAGGGATCCCTTGAGTGATTGAAATCGCTGCAGCAAGCAACCATTGTGAAACATGCAAGGTGCCCAACCGACCAACCAGCCAAGTCAAGCGAGCAATCACGCTAAAACAAACAAATCGACCAACCGACCAAGCCAAGCAAGCAATCACGGTGCAAAAAGCAAGGTGCCCAACCGACCAACCAACCAAGTCAAGCGAGCAACCATGCTAAAACAAGCAAATCGTCCAACCGACCAAGCCAAGCAAGCAATCACGGTGCAACAAGCAAGGTGCCCAACCGACCAACCGACCAACCAACCAAGTCAAGCGAGCAACCATGCCAAAGCAAGCGAATCGACCAACCGACCAAGCCAAGCAAGCAACAAGGGTGAAACAAGGGTGAAACAAGCAAGGTGCACAATCGGCCAACCAACGGCTCTCGGTGGGGCTTCCTACTGCTCTCGGTGGGGCTTCCTACGGCTCTCGGTGGGGCTTGCTTGGCTCTCGGTGGGGCTTCCAACGGCTCTCGGTGTGGTTTCCCATACGGCTCTTGGTGGGGCGACGAGTTTTCCGGGGCTCGGACTATTTTTTTCAAGGTCGCGACTATATTTTGCAGGTCCCGAGGGTCCCGATGATATTTTCCAGGATCCCGACGATATTTCTGGATTCCCGACTATATTTTTGCAGGTCCCGAGGGTCCCGACGATATTTTCCAGGATCCCGACGATATTTCTGGATTCCCGACTATATTTCCGGAGTCCCGACGATATTTCCGAAGTCCCGACGATATTTCCGAAGTCCCGACGATATTTCCGGAGTCCCGACGATATTTTGGCCAGAAATGCATTCCCGACTATATTTTGGGTTGCTTTGATGTCCCGACGATATTTTGCCAGCCCCGACGATTTTTTTTCGGAGCCTGACGATAAAATATAGCCAAAAGCATGTCCAGGGAGGGCTGCGCGATGCTGCCAGCCTCGCAGAATGTTGAAAAGCGCACGCAGGCACAGATTGTGCACGAGCGGCGGCAGCAGCACGGAGTCCCAGGCTGGAGCATCGTAGCCCTGCTCGCGCAGGAAAATAGGAGGCCGGCGTGATGCTTGGGTTAGAGCCCTGGTTTACGTTGGTCTGGGGTGGGATTGAATTAAGGAACTCAGGGCTGAACTACCGGGTTTTGGGTCTAGCCAGACTTGAGTCCAGTACTAGCAAAAAACGGAGACACAAAAGGGTTTCAGCCCGTGACTCAAAAGTGGACTTATACCCTCAAGGCACCGAACTTTGCACCCCGGTAACCCGTGTTTGGGGTTGGCTTGCCCCGCCAGCCAAGGCCCGGACTGCGACCGGATCTCCAACCTCGCTGAGGCTGCGCTGCCAATTGCGCAGCGTGTAGTCCAGGTAGCGTACGTGTAGCGTGAATGAATCGTGCCAGCATGAAAGGGTGCTGGAAAAAATTGTGTGCGGGCCCTCAGCAGCCCTGGCGATTGATTCCATAAAACACGCCATTTCCCGGAAGGGTGTTCAGTCCGGGCCCGCGCCAGTTTGCCATTTAATGCCAAGCACCTGTGGGGAATTCGTGTCAGACATAAAATAGAGATCAAACCCCAGGCCGGACATTGTACAGCTGAGTTCAAGCGAGCCATTTCCAAGCTCCCGGCCACGGCTCGGCCGGAGATCCCGTTGGCTATGTTCTGCCAGTAGCACACCCATGCGCTTCATTTTACAATATTATATAGATGTGCAACCGATCGAACCCACGACAGCCATTAGAGTTTTTTTTGGGGGGGTGACAGGTTTGCCCCAATATCCCAGGGGGTTCCCTGCTCACAGCCGCGCTCCTCCTGCGATGGGGGCGGCATGCACTTCCTCGTTCGTGTTGTGCTGGTTTACGGCTAGGAGCCAGCCTCCTGTCTGGCACGGCCAGCGCGGACAGGGGAAATGCCGCTCCTCAGCGACGTCCTTGCTGACTCTGCCGCACCGCCCCCTTTTGCCAGCCACGTGCCCCTCGTTGTGGACGGCCGTATCAAACGAAGTGTGTGGAGAAAAAGTTGGCAAACCGGCGATATGATGCTTGAACTGACGTTCATGATCGTTCATTCATGTGTGTTGAAACCCACTGTTTTGATGTACGTGTTTTGTTTAAGTGCGCTGAGAAGTAGTAAAAATTTCCGTTTTGGGCGCACACAACGGTTTCCATGTTCTTTGTCGCTCACTCAACCCGACAAAGCTTCACGATTTCGGTGAAAGCAGCGGTGGCGATGTTTCTCCGATCAAAACATTCGGGGTTTAGTGCCCTCAGATTTAGTAACATTGTTTACTGAGATATAGTGGTACAGATTGGAGTCTATATCCACCATTAGCTATAGGATTTCACTGTTCTCATTCGCAACTTATGGTATCAATCTCAGTCTTACTTTCAATAGTTTAGCTATATCAGTTCTGTCATCAACATTAACACTTAAATAATTTGTGTATTACTCGTCACACCGTGAATTCATTAGGTTGATGTTAAGCTACATAACCACGACATAATTAGATCAATTAGGATTACATCATTTAAAATGTTAATAGTTCTATCAATATTAACAGGTGTGGTGTTTTACTAATTAAGGTTATTAACAGATATGCACTTTAATACAACAGCATTTGATTCATATTCGGAGGTGATGCTATGTTCTATCAATACTTGAATTGGTTCTTTGGAAATCCAGGAGTCTATCCTTCCAGCTTTTGGTAATCAATAGTTTAACTATAATCGGAGAATCTTAGCTATGAGCCTATGAGTTGTCTTTGTCTATTGGGCCAAATTAGTTTGGGCACATCATATGTTTACAAGTAGTATGGAACAGTGATACAAGAGCTATAACTTTACAGATTAATACATTGGTTATATTTTCATTACCAGCTTGTTCGTTAAAATCATTCAGTTGGTACTCTACATATCTGGACAAGTAATGAATGTCTACTGATACTATCTCACAGCTAGTGTTATCTGTTACATTATATCTTTCATATAGTCTGTCCACAATAGGTGGTTCAACCGGTATTCGACTTGGTAAATTAGTGCTACTGGTATAGATGTTCATGATTCTTATTGTGTTGTTGCACTTCTTTACTATGTCTTATTATTAAGTACAACCAATGCTACCCTGTTAGGATTATTACGTGTATTGTCAGGTGCAGTATTAACATGACTTACTAACACTAGATGAACAGCTATAGGTATTGGCATGAATGGTTGAGGTTAGCTGTGTGTAGTATCAAGTTAAGTTATCTAAGTTGTTCATTGTAGTTGTGTTCTAGTGATATTATGTGAAGGTTTACACCATTACATCTCAGTGGTTTCTCATGTTCAAGCCTAGTAGAGTACAAGACTAAGGAGATCCATCAATATAGTGGTTGGAAAAATACGAGTTCACGCTAGTTTCATTCTTTATCACTACAGTCCTTTCCAACCAAGATAATTTAATAGGTATTGGGGAGGTCACCGGAAGCTTGTCATGAATCGCGAGTGTTATGCAGATATGAGTCACCGGAAAATAGAGCTAGGCTTGAGTACGGAACGTCACCAATCACAAACTGTATACGGTATGAGTTCAATAATTCTGTGATGGAGCGCGTGACTGACGCGGTTCATTGAACTGTCTATTAGGCAGCCAATGTGCCTCAAAGCGTCGTCGCAATTGATACGACCGTCTTTGGAATCCGGTTACCAGAACCAAAACAACCAAAACCAAAAATACCAAAAGGACCTAAAAACAATTCTTTCAAAACTCTTCCACTTGTGTATATTTCTAAGACCATTCTGGAAGAGCAGTGAAATAATTGTTTCTTGTTTGTTTTATTTGTTTTTTTTGTTGTGTTTTTTTTGGTTTTGTTTTTTTTGACTTTTTGTTTTGGTTTTCAATTTTGTCCCAGGAAAGGGTCTGGTGTTTCTTAGGGTTTTAATTACAGCAACGCCCCTAAGCGCAAGAATTGATAGCGATGTCGTCGAGGAGGCGGACCTGAACTGCGCATAACTGCGCAAAAAGCATAGGCAGAGTTCGACGCCCGAACCTATATGGTTTTCGCGAACGAAGGTAAACAGCGAAAACGCAGCGGGCAGTTTTCGGCTTCAAACCAATGTTTCTTATTGTTTCGGTGCCGTTGTGGAGACAGCCTCGATTCCCCTGACGACCAGGTACGGGGCAGTGTCAGATGTGTTGGGAAGGGTTGCTGCATGCGTGTACGGCGAAGCTGGGGCACGGGTGTCCTCCAGCGTTCTGTTCGCGCAGCGCGCGCTTGTTATAGTCTTTGCCTGAGTTGCCCCTGGCGGATGAGCGCGACGGCACCGAGCCACCTTTGAGTGATCTGAGTGACCCACCAGTCGACAATGGACTGCCATTGTGGTTGCAGCGAGCGCACGCGCAGAACTTACTGGAATTGCCGGTTCCGTTTTGCAGCTCCTGGCGGAGCCGCGTGCCCGTAGAAGGCCTGGACGCGGGTTTGGTCTGCCGCACGGATGGAAACAGGACCAACATTATAGGTGTGGGAGAATGAAAAACGTTCATGCTCTTGCCCGGTTTCGCGTCAGGAACGCAGATTGTTGTTGCATCCGTCGCCGTCGACATGGCAACTTAGATTGCTCAAGAGCTGAGTATTTTCCAAGTTAGTTCGAGTTAGTTAGTTCGCTGTGTCGACAATGCCGCGTCACCGACAACAACGGGACCCTGATGACAACGACAGCATCGATTCCGGAGAAGATGATGGTTTTCCGAACATCGGTGACATGGCAACCGATTTCGATCGTGCTGTGTCAACAGGCAGCGCCATCTCATTTTCGAGAAGAGGTGAGATTATCGAAATACCATCGGAGGCTGATGGTGATCACCTGGCAGCGAGGAAGTTGGCTATTTCGGCAGGGTACTTTCAACGTGCTGGTTCCGACAGCGCTGATGTCAGTATTGTTGAGCGAGGAAGATCAACTTTGTCAGCGCACAGGGCATTCGGCTGTGCAAAGAAACTGGTTCGCAGTCGATATTTTGCGCATTTTATGGTCGTCGTCGTGTTGCTTGATGCGGTTTTGACTGCGAGCGACATAGACTCTCGCGCAGCTGGTGTTGACACGCCGCCGGCCGTGTTAGCCGGTTCCTCTGTATGCTTGGCGCTGTACACGGTGGAACTGCTCTTGCAGCTGGCCGTTCGAGGCGATCCGAGTGGCAGTGACATTCTTGTACGGCATGAACTCCAATCCATTTCGAAGTGCATTGTGCAAGACCTGCATGGGTTGTCAATGTAGTGTTCTTTACGAGCCTCGACCCCGTAGCATTTCTCTCGTGATTCATGTGGTTGATGGTTGATCGTCGGTATCTGTACAGTTGTTGTTCGAACATTTTGAAGAGTCTTGCAGTGCTACAGACTTCGAGTTGGTAGCGAACTATTAAAATAGTGTTTGCCTGAAGGATCTAGAAAGTCTGCACATGTGTTGAGAGTGATTTCTTGCTTTCTTGTTGGGAAGCTCCGTCCGTTTGTGCATGATTGTCGTGATTGTCCTTGTCAGGCCCACGAATTTTCAAGGACTGGCTGACGAGACTGGACGTGTTTATCATCGCATCCGGTTATGCCGATGTTTTTCTGGGCATGATGCTTCATGCGGACGTCCTCGACTCGATTGGGATTGTCAGAGTCTTGAGACTTAGCAGGATTGTACGCCTGATGCAGCTAATGCGCAAGAACAGGTCTTTACGAGAGTTGCGTAAGCTCGTGACTATGCTCGCGACGTGTTTCAAGACGTTACTTTGGTCCTTCTTGTTTCTGTCCTTGGTGATGACCGGGTGGGCAATGCTGATCGTTGAGCTCATCAACCCGTACGTCCTCCAGATGCAGGCGTCTCATCCTTTTAGCAATTGCGAAGAATGCAGGCGGTCGACCACATCGGTCATGCACGCCAATTTGATGCTATTCAAGACCGTAATTGCTGGAGACAGTTGGGGCCTCATCGCAGTGCCCATGATTGAAAGCCATCCTGAGACTGCCATCATCTTTGTTGGGGCGTCCTTGACCTTAGTCTTCGGCGTACTCAATTTGATCGTGGCTGAAACCAAGCAGACATTTCAGGATCTTTGTGATTTTGTTCTAGTCAGCTTGCTTGTTGTCGTCGTGGCTGTTTTGATTGTAGTGGCTATTGCCATCACATCTACCAGCAAGGTAGTCGTTGATACTTTTGCAGAGACGCGTGAGAACGATGTCGTCAACTTGGCACAAGAGATGGAATTCAGCATGGAGGATGACCAGCAGATTTTGAAGCAAATCTTCCGAAGGACGGGAATGATAGTTCGATCCTTGTTAATTTTTGTGCCCCTACAGCAAGGCTCGCGGGTTTGTCGAGTGAACATACGTAGATGAACATTCATTCTGGTTGACTTGTGATGCCTGTACCCGATTGACTGAAGAATTGCATGTGTGCAGACCAGACGAATAGAAGATTGAAAGAAAGGATCGACACGAACAATGATGGCGAGCTCACTCTGGATGAGTTGCTGAATGGAGCCCGTACAGATGCCGAATTTCAGAGCAGGCCTTTGGCTTCAAGTCATGTGTCTTTGCGCATCGAGCTTTGGTCTGCGGGTGCACTCAAAGAATAATCCCTGAAAGCACACCACTGAAGTACTCGTAGATCTGATTCACGGGTGTACTTCGGAGAAATCGTGGTGTTTGGGACCATGTTGAAGATTGGCGCATGAAAGAGCCAGGAATGGACTGTGTCCAAGCCGATGTTAGAAGGAACTTTATAGGATGTCAGATGCCAAGTTTTGCATTGCCGAAGGAAGACTTTGTTGTGCGAAGTATGCCATGACAGTTCTTTCCTTGAAGGCTTCGAGTCATGGACATTGACGAAGTGGATCTGCAGCAATTCTTCGACATGATCGACCTCGACGGCTCTGGCTCCATCGAGGAGATGCCGGCAAAATGAAGTAAACTCTGAGAGGCTGTGTGTGCTGCTTGGTTTCAGGGTTTCCCCTGTCAAGGCCGACGAGTTTGTGATCCCTTTGAGCCGCTGGGTGCACGATTCCAAGACTGCACCGAGATTTATCAAGTACAATCTGATGCGGGCCATGGCCCAACAGGCCGAACTTCTTTGTGTCCATGTCGAAAGAAGCTACAAGCACACCCAGTCAACTGTGATGTGTCTTCCCTCGCAGGAAGAGCTGCTCAAGTACTCGCATCAGCATTTCGCATCTATTTCTGAAAATCTCCAGGCCAAAACCAAGAAGCGACATGCGGCAGAACTTGAGATATGTTACCACGGATTCGATGCTGTGTCAGGAGATAAGCCGTGAGCTTCGAAAAGGCCGACGGCCGTTTGTCGCAGCCAAGCCACGGCGATCTTCCGATCCTCCTGTCGTCTCAGTCTCAGTTGATTTTAGTTTTCGTGGCTCCGCAACACGCAAAGACACCTCGGCAAGGCCCTATCCCTCGATTTATATGTGACTATGATTATGGTTCGTGTACCTTACAGAGGTATCCCCTCAGGTCTAGTGTCCAGGACCCAGGGTCCCGAGAACGCAAGGTCTGAAATCCGCGCTTCGGCATGTTGGACCCTTTGCGCCGGGCGGACAGACCCGCACTAAAATCGCTTGACAGAAACTTTTTAAAAGCGCATGGACTCCCCGCGCGTTCCTGGTATATTCGTGGTTGTAGCATATGCTCAGACTGAATACAGGTCATCCAGCACCGAAATCGTGAGTTTTGTGTCTTGTGGTACCTTCTAGTGAAAATCGTTTAACAAAAACTGGTTTAGGGCGCATGGCTCCAGACTCGTACTATGAGTGGCTTAGCATATCACCACATTGAGCTACAAGTCAACCACCGAAAACGTTGAAAAGGAATGTAACCGAGTAGCACACAAAAGCGTGAGAGCCTCCCCGATCCCCTGAGCCCTGGGCTGCCCTCGCGCTCCCTCGCTCCCTCTATTTTTATCTGCGTCTGCGTGCATGGGCGTGTCGTTTCCCATGTCCTGGCTTACATAGTCATCTCAGATTTTTTTCGGAAGCCAGGGGATACCACTTGGAATAAGGCCTTCGCTGGACGGATCGTTTTGCACAGTCTGGCCCTTGAGTTGAACCCACCCAAGCTTTGACGCAGCATCCAACCAAATTTCCACATCTCGCGTGACAGGTTTGCCGAGTCTCAAGTTGCGATATACACACACATATACACACACACATATATATATATATATATATATGTATGTGTATGTGTATGTGTATATGTATATGTATGTGTATGTGTATATGTATATGTATATGTATATGTATATGTATATATGTATATATGTATATATGTATATATGTATATATGTATATATGTATATATGTATATATGTATATATGTATATATGTATATATGTATAAGTATAAGTATATGTATGTAAGTATATATATATATATATATATATATATATGGTCGCCACCCCCCCGTTGACAGACCATACCCTTTCAAGCGAGTCGTAGCGCATGGTCTTGCATCGGATGGGTCACAATCAGCCCTCCTGAGAATCTCGCCCCTAAGTTTCAGGATTTCTAAAATTTCCAAATTTCTATCAAAAATTCCAAGATTTCCAAAAGTTCGCCCTTATGTTTTGGAAAAATCCTGCCCACTAGGTCTAGGGATTTTGGAAATTTTGGCCTCCTGACTTCTGAGAATCAGTTCCAAGAATTCCAAAATTCTCGACCCTAAGCTTCAGGATTTCTTGAAAAAATTACAAAATTTCCAAACATTCCAACATTTCCAAGAAGTTCGCTCTTATGTTTTGGAAAAATCCTGTCCACTAGGTCTAGGGATTTTGGAATTCTTGGAGTTGATTCTCAGAAGGGCTGATTGGTACCCATCCGATGACAGACCATGCACTACGACTCACTTGCAAAGGCAAAGTCTGTCGATACTCATGCCCATATTTAGACGAATATCTATATGTATACATATACATATATGTATATTTATGTCTTGATACTGCCAATACTGATAATGACGTTGATCCTTTGTTGAATGCCCAAGCTAATACCAGCATTAATACTCATATTACACTTTCATAAAGCCTAGTACGAATATGCATAAAACAAATACGAATATTGATTACTATTGACATTAATACTCCTACGAATATCAATAATCATATTCATATTGATATTAGGGTATATACATACCAATACTAATGCACACCTGCATTTACTAATGCATATAAATTGAATGCAAATACTTTAACTCATTCATGTATTCATTTGTTAGTATTTTCATGTGATCAAGAGTAATTCTACTACGAACATTCCTGCGAATACAAATCATCATATGAATATTATAGTACTAACGCTAACACTACTAGTAATACGAATCACAATATTTATGCTAAAGTCAATACTTACATAACTTTTGATACTCCTCCGAATACGAATGCGTATACTCTTGTGGTGTTAGCAGTAATGCTATCACCAATACTAGTACGGACATTGACAAACTGTTGAGTATTCAAGATAATGCCATTATTATTACCAGCATGAACACATATATTACGGCAAATACGGCTGTGAATAGTCCTATTACTAGTATTAACATAAATACTCCTACGAATACCAATTTATATTCATATTGATATGAATACTAAGACCATTACCACTAGACACCTGCATATACGAATGTACATAAGAATGCCAACCACTATCTGAAATACAGAGATATATATATATATATATATGTATATATCTGCTCTCCCCCCCGAAGAACTACCGCGGAGGTGGCGCGATAATGCCACCAATCCTGCGAGGTTTAGGCTTCTATTGTATGATCCAGGCTTAGTGTTAGATTTTGATGTTCGGAGGGGACAGCATATGTATATCGGCAGCCGCCTTCATTCTCAATTGTTCTGACCCTTCTCACAGATACTCTGACATATGATTTCCCAACCATGAAAGTCATGTCTGTCGGAATACCCGAAGCTCAATATGGGCACAAGCATTAGCTCCCAACGTAGCCTGCGATACAGTTTCAGATCCAAGCCCCAGCAATACGTATGAATGATCGTCAGCATTGACTGACTCCTATTCCTAAACAACCATATCCTAAGACTATCCCTGCCATTCGACCTTACATGGGGGCCAATGGTGACAGTAGTCTACCACTTCATGTTCACCCACAAATGGTGCACGTCTTCGTGCGTATGGATTAACATGTTATGTCGACTTGTAACCCCATTATGTATACATCCCCATATCAATCTCATGTCGAGCTGAAGGTTAATACAAGGTTAGTACAATCACATACATCAGCTAGACTGGCCCCCTGATAGTCTGGAAGGATATTGCCGTCCCCCCAAGATGGACCTTGCTCGCAAACTTAATGTTGCCCATAAGCTGTTCCTTGTGCCGGATACTTCCTTCAACTGCAACCCACGTAATGGCCATTGGCCTCATCAACAAGTTAGTGCATCCAGATGTAGCTGTGGGTTCCCATTCAAGTGTCCGAAGTTAAAAGCCACGGCATCCCCGTTACTAGTTACTGTTCGTATTAATACATGTAAGCTAAATACTGCCCAAACATTTGCTTCAACGGTTGCCGTCATATTCATGCTAATATTAAACTACACGAAACGGATTCCATTAAGAACCGCGATCCTTGCTGTCTTCACTCTGGTGTTCCAAAGAGGATGGCCCTTCGATTTTTAGGGGTTATACCAGCATTTGTTTGTTTACCTCAACATATAGTACATGGCGCCCCCTTTCTCACTGTTAGACTTGCTGTCGGACTTGCCCGTATGCGGTATGTACATTTATGTGTCTATATACACATAAATGTAAAGAATCAGGTTAAACCTGTACTAGGTACCAACAAAGTGACGAAGATCATTAGCTGACTCCTGCTTCCAAACAACATCAACCCTAACTATATCCTTGTCATTCGCCGTTATGTCAATGGTGACCGTAATATTCGCCCTGACAGCAGCCCTCAGGCCATCCATAGTAAGCTTAGTACCACACAGAATCTGACCCCGATGTTTAATATTTAATGTACAACTTCAGTCAGCTAGAAGACATCACGCGGTAGCTGTGATAACCAGCTCCCTATCGACCCCAAAGTTGACCCGAATATTGTCTTGGTTACTACCCAATATATTGTAAAGTATTAACGTTGACGGAATCGCATCCCAGTAATACGAATACTCTAACCTTAAACGCAACACTTGTTCGTAACGTGAAAGGCACACTCTTCGCTAGAAAACCTTGGTTTTGGAGTGAAAAACCAACCTTTTCCCAGGAAAAAGATGGTTTTGACATGAAAAACCAACTATTTCCTAGGAAAAAGATAGTTTTGGAGGGGGAAACCAGTTTTTTGTTTTCCTAGGAAAAGGTGGTTTTGGGTTGCAAAAACCAATTTTGCCTAGAAAAACATTGTTTTGGAGTGAAAAACCAAGTTTTAATCGGAACAAGATGGTGTTGGTGTGAAAAACTTATTTTTCCTGGGGAAAACCAAAAAACAATCTTTTTGGAGTCCTGCCGTATAGTTTCCCAAAAGATGTTTTGTTGTTTTTTGTGTTTTCCCTAGGAAAAAGTTTGTTTTTCACACCAAAAACCATCTTTTTCCTAGGGAAAACCCAAAACTTTTTCCTAGGGAAAACAAAAAAACATGTTTTTCAAGTCTGGCCACATAGTCTCCCAGAAGATGTTGTTTTTAGTTTTTTTGTTTTCCAGAGGAAAAAGTTAGTTTTAGGAGGAAGAGCACAGTGTTGCTGTTAAGCGTGTGCTCGCGTCGAAACGTCGAACTTGAACGAGCTGACTGATACGCTCTCTTGAAATGAAAGGTTGACTTCGGTAGTCTTTGATAGATACTGAATCCGGACTTCACGTCAAACCTTAGCGAGTTGACTGACACGTTCTCTTGGAATGTGAGTTTGATTTCGGTAGTCTATGAGAGATACAGAATCTTGACCCTCCGGAAAAGCTGGTTTGGCATGGTATTTACGATACAAAACGAGGGTAGGTAGTTCTTGGGGGGGGGTTACCATATATTTGTATATATACGAGTGCATTCATGTACTAATGTTTTAGGCTTTGTTGTGTATGAATATACTATACTACTATGCGAATATACCAATATACGACTACTGCAATATGCAAGTATACCGACGTAACAAATTAGTATACAAATATGCCAACATACTGATGTACTTGTAAATGATGAAACAATACATGAATATAGTACACATACTAGTAACCTAATATACTGTTAATATATTAGTGTACTCATGCACCAGTTGTGCTAACCTCTCAAATATACTAATATACAAGTATACACTATGTTACTGCTCGAATACACTAATGTATTGATATACTAATCTGCTAATATACGAAACTATCAATATACCAACATATCAAAACAAATTCTACTATTGATCCTAGTACTAGCGCTTCTGCGAATATTAGCTGATATTAAACCCAGCATTAAGACTGATAATGATACTAGCAATGGTACTGTACCATTACTGGCCTTGACACTGGCACTAACACTAACACCAACACTAACACGAACAACGAGCACTAATTTTTATTTAAGCATACTAATATTGATATGTATACTTACACTAAACCCGAATACTAATACTAATACTCGTACTAGTACGCATCCTGATATCAATACTGCCGTAACTCATGTGCCGCGCGTCTGGTGCATGCGTACTCAGTACATGGCATGTCAAAGTATACGTTGTATATCTACTGTAAAGGTTTCACTTCACAGATTATCGGGTGTCGTGTGTTAGATACAATATCTCAGCCGAGTCACCTTCACCTGCCAAGAATATAATACTGTCACAAGAGCATGGTCTGTCAACGGGGGTGTGAGCATATACATACATTATATATATATGTATATATATATGTGTGTGTGTATATATGTATACATATACAACAGCAAGTCAGCGATCATCAAACCTTAATCCTTGCGAGATGCAATGTGCTTTGAGCATGGCGGCTGCGGCCTGCCGGTCCTCCTTAGCGGACACTTGAAAGACCAGAACTCCAAGATGCTCAGCAGTTGTTAGTCGTGTGTGGTTCTTTTGATTATGAAGCAATGAATTTCTGCCTGCCTGTGTGGTCACACGTTACACGGGTTGTTCGTCAATGGCATTGCCACAGCTCGCACTCGTATGCCGCTTTGCTGTGGTTTATTGTCAAGTCCAATGCACCTCAGCGTCCGTGGCTTGCACCCACCAATGCAAGCATACATATATTTATTTATTTATTTATATCTACACTTTGTATATGGATGTGTATATATATATGCTTATCTATCTACCTCTATATATATATACACACATATTTTTATTATATACACATATTATTCTATTGGGTTTGTTTCTCCGCCGCTGTCTCCACGTGGGTGCATGGTCAGTGGAATTGGATGGGGGACAGTTCAGGCCAAGCGCGTCTCCTTCGACTCCGAAAGCTCGCAAGCATCCAACGCATCGGTGCCTGAGTCCAAGGCCCAGGACCGTCTCAGCGAGTAAGAGGCGCGCGTCATCTTCCCTGCGTGTTGAACCCTGCTTTCGATGCAGGACACCTTACGCGAGCGAGCTGCGGGCATCATGAGTGACCCCCACCACTCTGTTTTCCAGCGCAAGCTTGACAAGCTGAAGGCGGATCTTGAGATTTCTTTGCAGGCGGGGTGTAGAGCAGTACTGCTTTTGTTGCCACAAGAACCGCTGGCGGCAGTGGAAACATGATTCAACCGACGGAAAGCTGCGGTCCCTGTCATGATATTGTGCTGCTTTGACCAGCAAGAGGTGGTGTCTCGCTCAAGTTCTCATGCATGTGACACGAGCACGTATGGATCAGGCAGCCATGGGGCAGCTGGATGCATGCTTCCGCGAAGCCTCCCTGGGGTTGCAGTCCATGCCACCCACCCTCACATCGCCGGTGAATGGTGAAGACGGTTCTCCACGACGGAGTTTGGTGAGGCTCGGGAAGCGCATAACTGCCATAGCTCAACAGATCTTTACGTCGGTGTGGGAAGATGTAAGCGAAACGAAACTCAAACATGGATGGTCAGTGTCTTGCGATGACCGTTCTGTGCAGGAATTCGCAAGCTGAGGGTGCACAGGATGCAATACCGAACCCAGCCAGTGATCTTGAGCACAGTAAAGCTAAAGACAGAATGCCCAGCAAGCTTTCAAAGAAAGCCACCGGAGGCATCGATGAATCTGAATTAGTTTCTGGCGACCCGCCACTAGCTAGAGTCCACATACGAACCATGGAAGTTTGAGCAGTGCAGAAGCTTACCCTCGACTTGCACCTGACTTTCCTTGTCCTACAAGTGAGCCTTTGTTCATGTTCTCGCACTTTCCGTCGAGGGAGGCACTGAGCAATTGCTCGCCCTGCGATCTGCAGCACTGATATGCAGTGGTTTCTTCCATGAATAGCCAATCAGGCTGCTTCGAGGTGTGCGCCGGTCTTTCACCGTTAACACATGTTTCGCGCTCTAGTACAGTCACACTCACATGTCTTTACTGCAGTTGTTGACTATGGTGGCACTCAAATCGACTTCTTTTTCGCGGCCTGCTATGCTTTCCATCAATTCCAGGTCACACGAAGATTTGAAGACGTGTTTCAATTGTAGCTCGTGCAGAGCACAGCGCTCCGAGCGGCTTGGCGCCGCAAAATGAGAGCCTGAATTCCTAGGCACAAAACAGTGGTCACAACCGCCAAGCTGGATAAGATGCCATCGACAGCAAATAGACATGCCATCATAGTCGCAAGGAGCCCTTTCAAAAAACTGTCGCTGTTTGGCTCTGGTGGATGCGTGCCTGCGTTGCTGAAGTTTTCGCCAACAGGTACTGCATTTTAAAGTCTGTCTCGTTGTGGCAAGCTTGAAAAGAAGCAGCACATAGCAGCAGCATAGACCCACACCTGCCCCACTAAATGAGTCACAGTGACACCATAATTACATGCATAACCCAAGCAGCGCATGGCTAATGCTCAGCTTCGTTGATATAGAGCGCTTGCACCACAGAAGGCACTTCCAGGAAAGGGCCAGGGCCTGGCAAGCAAATGGGAGCGATTCCGAGCTGCATCCTTACTATATCTCTGTCAGGTTCAATGTTAAGTTCATCGCCGTTTCAGGTGATTAGCATGCGTCATCTAGGCATGTTCGTCAAGCCTCAGAGACAGACATAGCATGGTTCATAGCGTGATCAAGTAAGTTAGCGCACACCACAGGTCGTGGCAGTCTGCAGTGGCAGTTACATTTTGCAGTAGTTTTGCCTCACCCAAACTCGTTCTGAGGTTTGGCAGTCGGAGTTGTAGTCGCCGTCGCAGCCAGACCAGTAGCTGTGATTTGGTAGTCGTCGTAGTACAGGTAGTACTGCAGTAGTCGTCGTCTTCGCAGTCGTAGTCGTCGTAGTACTGGTCCTAGTCCTAGTCGGTAGTGCTGTAGCCGTAGCGCCGCAGCAGCAGCAGCGGGAGGAGAAAGAGGAGCAGTAGCAGTAGTGGTGTGGCAGTGGCAGCAGCAGGAGTAGGAGTGGTAGAAGTAGAAGTAGAAGTAGAAGCAGAAGCAGAAGCAGAAGCCGAAGCGGTAGCGGTAGCGGTCGTGGTCGTGGTCGTGGTCGTGGTCGTGGTGGTGGTGGTGGTGGTGGTGGTGGTGGTGGTGGTGGTGGTGGTGGTAGTGGTGGTAGTGGTGGTAGTGGTAGTGGTAGGAAATACTAGTACTAGTGGTGGTGGTAGTAGTAGTAGTAGTTAGTAGTAGTAGTAGTGTCAGTGTAGTAGCGAAGTAGTATATATAGAAGTGTATATAGTAGTACGTATAGGAGTGTAGCGTAGTAGTGTGGTAGTAGTAGTAGTAGTAGTAGTAGTAGTAGTAGTAGTAGTAGTAGTAGTAGTAGTAGTAGAAGTAGAAGTAGAAGTAGAAGTAGAAGTAGAAGTAGAAGTAGAAGTAGAAGTAGAAGTAGAAGTAGCAGCAGCAGCAGCAGCAGGAGGAGGAGGAGGAGGAGGAGTAGTAGTAGTAGTAGTAACAGCAGCAGAAGCAGAAGCAGTGGTAGTGCCAGCTGAAGCTCAAGGGCTTGCAAGCAGAAGACTGTTTGCACACTACTAGACCTACTACGACGACGGCGAGGTTTAGATTTCAGTTCAGGAAACAAGAGTTTAGAGCTTGTTTGCAGTGTGCCCCTCGATAGAGGCCCTGCTGCAAAAGAGTTATTTAGGGCTGCTGCGGGTAGGGGCAGCAGTCGTGGTCGTAGTGGCGGTGGTGGTAGTGGCAGTGGCAGTAGGTTTAGCAGTGCCAGTGGCAGTAGCCGTAGTAGTCTCAAGCGGTGGAGCAAACAGTTCCACCCAGAGTTTCCCAAACGAGAAGCTGCCAAATGACATGATACGGTGCGGCAGGTTCCAAGCGGCTTCGTTGAGCGCATTGGTATACTGAGCTGAGGTGTGTGCGTTGATGATGCTCCATCAGCCAAAGCTTCCTTCAACGTTGAGGCAGCGTGTTCGAAATTTGCTCCGTGCGAGTCCATTTGCATCGGATAGCGGCACACCTCTGAAGCTCGTTTTAGCCGTTCATGACTGCAGGAACACAAGTTCATGTGAACATGCTCTGACCACCTGTGCTTGTCCCGAAGTAAGCAATTTCTGTTTAGGAGCTGGGTTGAGGCCGGCCTACAGTGCTTCCAGTTTTTGGGGTTTGCACTTCTAGTCAAGTCCCTTCTTGTCGTGGGTTGGCTGCAGAGGTTCTCTTGCCTGAACTGTGCTCCATTTGTCAGGCATCGCCTGATCAGGATGCTGTCGAGATTAGCAGTTTCAAGTTCAACAGCCCGACGCTCGGTGGACTGTGTGACTGTGCGATTTTTCGTCATAGTCATGCTAGTTTCCTTGCGTGAAATAGCTATGCTGCGAGGCAAGAGCCAAATCGAGTTCATCACAGATGTGGAAGGCCGCCTCGGGCTTGCGGATCACCTCTCCAACCCAAGTTTTCAGCACGACGTCCATGTTGTCAGCGATACAGGCGTGCACGGTTCAGGGGCCCATGTGTCGCAGCAGCGTTATGTAATAGAGCGTGCAAAAACTGGCACCAACAGCATTCCAGCCGGCGATGCCTTCTCTCTAGCATGGCGCATGCAGGTCATTGGGAGTACTTCCTGCGCTTCATTGACCGGAGCAGCATTCTGTACTGGGATGGTGAGGAGAGCCGTTCTTTCTTTCGAGATTTTTCCTCTTGACTCGTACAGCAGTGCAGGTGCGGATTGGCATGTGTCTTCGTGCGATCCAGTAGCAAGCCTTTGTTTCCTCTAGGTTGCTGTTTGCTTGGCGTGCAATTATGCAGGACCGCGGTGCCTGGGGTCTCCGACTTAGAAGAGGGACAACCAAGACGACAACCACGACGTTTTCGACTACTAGTGACTCTGCAACTGCTACTTCTACCTGCCAGTAGTCTACTACTACTACTACTACTCCTCCTACTACTCCTACTACTCCTACTCCTATGTAGTAGTAGCACTACTACTACTACTACTACTACTACTACTACTACTACTACTACTACTACTCCTACTCCTACTCCTACTCCTACTCCTACTCCTACTCCTCCTACTCCTACTCCTACTCCTGCGCCTACTCCTACTCCTACTACTGCTGCTACGACTACGACTACGACTACTGCTACTAATACTACTACTCCTACTTCTATTGCTACTCCTACTTCTACTCCAACTCCTACTCTTACTACGGCTGCTGCCACCGGTAATGCTACTGCTGCTACCACTACTACTACTACTACTACTACTACTACTACTACTACTACTACTACTACTACTACTACTACTACTACTACTACTACTACTACTACGACGACTCTGCCACTTACTATCGCTACCACGACTAACTTCTACTGCTGCTCCTGCTGCTGCTACTACTACTAACTACTACTACCTCTACTACTGCTGCTACTACTACTATTGTGGATGGAGGAAATCTTGCACCGCTTGTAAGATATGTTATGTAGCTTCACCCCGTGCCCTCTTCTGAACATTGCTATGAACACAGTGCTTTACAAGATCGTTCCAATGAGATTAATCTTGCACCGCCCCAAGAGGTCTGTCGTCAATGTTGAAAAGGGGGTGCGGGATTGTTGCTCGGATGTGTACTCGAAACAGTGTGTGTAGGTGGTGCAAGATTTCCTCCATCCACCGTAGTACTACTACTACCACCACTACTACTACCACTACTATCACCACTACCAGCACTACTACAACTACTACTACTACTACTACTACTACTACTGCTACTACTATTTTCCCATTGCTATTATTATCCCTATTACTCTTACTGCAACAACTACTACTACTACTACTACTACTGCTACTACCGCGACTGCTACTGCTTTCAGATTCTACCACTACTGCTAGTACTGCGCTACTACTACTACTACTACTACTACTACTACTACTACTACTACTACTACTACTACTACTACTACTACTACTACACTACTTCCACTTCTACCACTACTACCACTACTACTGCTGCTGCTGCTGCAGCTGCAGTTACTACTGCACTACTACTACTACTACTACTACTACTACTACTACTACTACTACTACTGCTACTGCTACTGCTACTGCTACTACTACTACTACTACTACTACTACTACTACTACTACTACTACTACAGAACTACTACTGCTACTGGTGCTGCTAGTGCTACTGCGACTGCGACTACCATTACACTACCACTGCTGCAGTGTTCACTTTACCACTGGTTCTGCTGCCTTCGTGTGGCATCTGCGGCGACCAGCTCTTGATACGCTGAGGTCCTGGCCTGCTACGGTTACGACGTCAGGGGGTGCTCGTCTTCGGCGGTGATGCGATGCTTGGTTGCAGGGTTCCACAAACTCTTCATGGAAGGCACCATGGCCTAGCCTTCGGAAGCCTTCTGATGTTGCGGTGGGCAGAGGAGGTGTTTTTGTTGATTACTTTGCACCTTCTGCAAACTGAGGCCAGACAAAGGCTTGCACCCGAGTCTTGCAAGCTCTTGCAGCCTTTGACCTCCTTTTCTTGCAGTGATGTAGCGCATCCGCATGCGGTAGATTGCCTGGCAGTTGAAGTTGTAAAGTCTTGGGGTCACGACGCATTCTGGCCCGTTGAGTGCTGAAGGTCCTGGGGACATCCGTTTCATCAAGACGTTGCTCAGTTTGAGAAAGCGCTTCCCCAACCAGGCTGAATCAGGGCATGGTACTGTCGAAACAGGACGTTTTGCGCGTGTAGTTTTTGGTGATGTCACATGTTCTTACCATTAGCATTACTAGTTGCAGTAGCAGTAGTGTAGGAGCATTACTGGTGAGAGCAGTATTGTAGAAACTGCAGCAGGAGCAGCAGCAGTAGCAGTATCAATAGAGGAGCAGTACTAGCAGGAGCAGTAGTTGCTTCAGGAGTAGCAGCGGCAGTAACAGGAGAAAGAGCAGCAGCAGGAGTAGTTCTAGTAGTAGTAGTAGTAGTAGTAGTAGTAGTAGTAGTAGTAGTAGTAGTAGTAGTAGTAGTAGTAGTAGTAGTAGTATTCATTCAGAACGCGCACCGAGTACGATGTCTGCGAGAGGGCTGAGGCATGCGACCACTGTGGGACCGCACGGAGGCTCCAGCGAGCTGGGTCTCGTCACGCGTTTGGTGACCCTCCTAATCTAAAGCTAACAAATCGATCTGTGTGCTCGAGTAGTAGTAGTAGTAGTAGTAGTAGTAGTAGTAGTAGTAGTAGTAGTAGTAGTAGTAGTAGTAGTAGTAGTAGTAATACTGGTAGTCGTGGTAGTGGTAGTTGTGATCATAGTAGTAGTCGTCGTCGCAGCAGTAGCCAACGCAGTAGCAGGAGCCATAGCATCAGCAGCAGCAGCAGTGGTAGTAGTAGTAGTAGCAGTAGTCGTATAGTAGTATAGCATCGAAGGCTGGAGGATAACCTGTAGCCTGCGCAGCTTGTTTGGATTCCGCACATATGCTTGGATCCGAGATTCGCAAAGCTGCTGTCTGGGCATGCATGTCACTTTTGAGTACTTCGGCGGCATCTGCTTGTGCACCTGGACGATCGGTCAGGTCTATTTCATTCTGGGAAATCGCGACCTCATGAAGCTGCGTGCAATCCTTAGCTGAACGTTAGTGTTGTGGGCAGTCGGGACAAGACGTGCTTCGCTTCCGTAACCACACCTGGGAGACTGGATTTGCGGGGGCCAGCTATCCCACCGTGGCAGGAGTTGAGCAGACAGCTCTCGACACACCTGAATGAGAACTCGAGCCTTCATGTCTGCTGAGGTTTCATGGCTGAGCTCAAGGAAATAGAGGCCAAAGTGTGCAACATGATGTCCTTGGAGATGTTTTTGAATCCATCGAGATAGTCATGGGATGGTTCTATTTGGCAAGTCACCGCTTGTGCATCTTTGGGTTTACAGCTATGGTAAAAGTACATGTGCTCTGAGTCTGTCGGCTGCCGCTCGTATTACCGTGTTGATGGCATTGATAGCGCACGCTTCCCAGGACAGTGCCGTCCGAAGAGCGAAAGGAGCGAATAATTTATCCTCCCACACGATTGGAAGCCAGGAGCCAGGAATGGTATGGACTCCAAGCTGGGACAGGCCTCGACGCGATTTCAGAAAGCTAATCGGAAGTAGCGTAAACATGCAGCCAACTAATGTCTTGATTTTCCTCCCCTGCAAAGGTGTACGGTTGCAACCATGAATTTTCGGGACTCCATGTAGCCGGGGTTCATCCGACGTACAAGTTCGCAGTATTTGGTGCAAAACTCTCCAGTGCTGCAAGGCTTTTGTGAATCTTTGAACATGTGCAGAACGTCAGCTCTGTGACGTCAGAGTGTGCCAGGAAAGCGATATCTTTTGAACAGTTCCTGGAGGCCAGCTGTTTCCGATTTATGCACAGTCGTGCAGTCTTACCGGGCACCAGTGGCTACTCAGTCACTTAGTCACCATCGAGCAGAGAAAACGAAGTCATTTCAGAAGAGAATATGAGACGTTCAGGGGACACTTTCGCGATGCCTGCAAGGCCATCCAACTGCATGGCGACATGTGGTGGCGGATTGATGATGCTTGAACTTAGGCTATCTCATGGGAAAGAGCTTCGATAGGATAGCCGAGCCATCGAGCAAGTATTAGCTTATCTGCTCAAGCATGTCACACAAAACTGCCACGATCCGTTGTAATCAGCTGGTGGCACCTTTGCCGAGCGGTGCTCTAAGCTTTTGGCGCTGTGAGGATCGAAAAGGCGAAAACATCCAGCGCGACTTGATCGGCAAGCTGATGCTTTGCAGCATTCAAAGACATGCTGGCTCCTGCAGCCCGCCACAACGTGATACCTCCTCCAACCTAAGAAATCCTAAGAATCTCTGTTCATTTTTCGGGTCCCGGTCTTAGTGAAGCACTGACGGAGCTGGCTGTTTATCTGAGGAAGTGGCTTCTGCATTGCACCATGGGTTGCCAGGCGTCGCAGCTTGCAAAGAAAGACACAGAAGTTTGAATTCATTACATTCAGAGCGAAAGGACGCTTGTATCCCCTAGGCCCTAGCCTGTTTCTTCAGTGTAACAATGTGAGCTGGTGTCTAACTCCATGAGCTGTGCAGTCTTAACTGACATGTGCTCCGCTGGGGCTCAGCTCGAAGAACTGTTTTTCTGGATGCCGGGCAACAGGCTTCGACAGACACACTAAAGGTGGTCTGGCAGCCATGCAGCGCACGGCAACCTCGGGCAGCACATCCTCGGAAGGCTTCGACCTCAACGTCAAGACAGAGTGGGAGAGGGAGGTCAGCGGAGCAAGCAATACCAGTGTCCTTACCTTCACCAACAGAGGCGAGATCAAGGAGAGTACTGGCGATGAATCCCAGCAGCACAAAACGAAGAGCAAGGGCATCGCCACGGAATACTTCAAACGCTCCGAAACAGATGCAGATTCCTTCACACTCAAGGGCAAGGTTTTCGCGCAGTCTGAGAAGTCTGTCGCCTTGACAGTCTGTCAGGGTTTCTCTCGTAAGATTCTCCGGAACAAAATGTTTGCACATTTTATGGTTGTCATCGTCGTAATGGATGCATTCCTGACCGCGACGGATATCGATTTCAGAGCTCGTGGTGAGACGCCTCCTGGGCTGGTGCTGGGTTTGTCGACGATGTGCCTGAGCTTGTACGCCCTCGAGCTCTTGTTTCAAGTCTTCGCACGAGGTGGGCGAGTTCTGCTTGCTCCCGCATTTAGGTGGAATAGTACTTCTAGTAATATCTACTGCGCGCAGTGCACCGTTCATTCTGCTCCTTTGCGGGAACCGGGTGTGGCGCCCAAGACTGCGAAGTTGTCCGGCTCCATCGCCAGATGAAGATGTATCACTGGTTCCCACGACCCACCACCACATGTGGAAAACGTGCAATACGTCATGCTGTAATTGTAATTATATAGTTGCGAATCGAGCACGTCCACGCCATGTAGCTGGGTCATGGCAGTCAGTGTTCGCTGGTCGTCGTGCTTTTGTCAACGATTGTACTTGTGTAGCCTTTATAGGGCAAGGTCGTGATAGCACTTGTGTCGAGGACGCCGGGTATTGCACGATTGGCTGGCTTGGATGGACCTGATTATTATCGTGTCGGGCTGCGTCGATCTGCTAGTGAGCGCCTTTGTGAAGATTGAGTTTCTATCCAAAATCGGTGCCATGCGAGTGCTGCGCCTGATTCGGATCGTTCGGCTGCTGCAGCTTCTGCGCCGAAATCGATCCTTGAAAGAGTTGCAGAAGCTGGTAAATATGTTGGCCACCTGCTTGAAGACGCTTTTATGGTCTTTCGTGTTTCTGTGTCTCGTGATGACTGGCTGGGCCATGCTGATGGTTGAGATCATACACCCTTATGTGCTGGAGCTACATGAAGTATTCAGCGATTGTGAGCAATGCATGCGGGCCACATCGACGGTAATGCAGGCAAACTTACTGTTGTTCAAGACGGTCATTGCCGGAGACAGCTGGGGTCAGATAGCCGTGCCAATCATTGAGTCCCACCCTGAGACCTCGATCATTTTTGTTGGATCGCTGCTTACTCTAGTCTTTGGCGTTCTCAACCTTATAGTTGCCGCCGAGAGCTCAGTCTTTGCCTGCAAATGGCGTAGGGCGTGAGTCCGTAGTGCTGCAGAGTGGCCCGTTACACGTGCCACTCGAACGGCCAGGTAGTTGTGGACACTTTCGCCGAAGTTCGGGAGAATGACGTCGTCAACTTGGCCCAAGAGCTGGAGTTCAACATAGAAGATGATCAGAAAATCCTCCGACAAATATTTCACCGAATCGACGCAGATGAGGACGGATCTGCCAACAGAATGTTGTAGTTGCTAGGGGACGGTGGAAAGGGGGGAGGAGGGAGTTCGCGCACTTCTGGGTTGGGAGAGCGACGAGAGAGAGAGAGAGAGAGAGAGAGAGAGAGAGAGAGAGAGAGAGAGAGAGAGAGAGAGAGAGAGAGGGAGGGAGAGAGAGGGAGAGAGAGAGAGAGAGAGAGAGAGAAAGAGAGAGAGAGAGAGAGAGAGAGCGAGAGAGAGAGAGAGAGAGAGCTGGTGCCCAGTGCGACAGCAAAAAAGTGCAGTTCGGATTGTTCTTTATTCAGCTTTTGTCCGATTTGACGGACCCATTTTCGAGACCAAAAAACCCGTCGAAAACTTGTGCACCATAAGGGGCCTCCCCTGTTGGCGCTGCGCTTGGTAAGGTTTCAACTTGATTGTTTGAAAGGAATACGTGTTTAAGACAAGCATTAACTGGCTACACTTTGGAGCTCTCCGGCTGCATGTTGCTGAAGAAATAATCGCTCCGCGTCCAGATTGTGCGATTCCAAAAATGAGCTCGCAACTGGTTCGCCAGCACCCTTTTGCAGGCCCAAAGCTGCGACCGTTTTCTGAGCCCTCGGGAAATATACCAATAGTCAGAGGCACTAAAAACGGGTCCGAAAACCGGACCCATTTTTGAGCCCGCTTCTCACTCTTTTTCTGAATTCTCAACTCCAAAAAAATGATCACCGTTTCTCTTTTTGCTTACGCAGCCACTCCTGTTCTGTGGCTTAGCTATGAAATCGAACAAATGCAGAAAACTGGGGAGGCCTCTGTGGCGCACACGTTTTCGAAGGGTTTTTCCGCTTCGAATATGAGCACGTCAAATCTGTCAAAATGAAGGTCGAGACAAGGTCCGGAAATTCGGAAGGCTTCCCACATGGGGTTTCTGCTAAAACAGCAAAAAAAACTGGCGAGAGCCAAGTGAGCCCACGTCGTGCATGAGGGGGTTTTGGAGTTTCACCGTGCACAAATTCCGAACTGTTAGCCGCACCTCTCGACACCACAACTCTGCATAGCTCAAAAAGCCCTGTGTAGATCTGGTGGAGATATCTTCCAGAAAATTCCACTGCTCTTGCATGATCTGTTCCGGCGCCAACCAGTGCGACAGCAAAAAGTGCAGTTCGAAGTGTTCTTGGGAGCAACCAGCCGGTCTAGCAACAGCAAATGCAACCAGAAGCAAGGCAGAGGCAAGGAATGTTGCAAATGGAGTCTCTGCTAAAAATCATAGCGCTGCAGCCAACAGAGATGCAAGCAGCGCACACACCCACCGCCGGCAGCAGCTCTGACCCGCCACCACAACCACCAGTGCAGGTGCAGTACCACACCGCACCACCACCACCCAATGTACACCATGTTGCAGCCCACATGCTCCAGCTGCAGCTCGACATGCTTTCAGCAATCGAAGCTACCGGTGCACACAGCCCTGTCCCGGACACGGTCAGAGACCTACATGAAGTACATCGCCTCCTGCTTGAGGGCACCCAACGCTTCTACAGCCAAGCCACAGCCCGCTGCTGGGCCAACGTGCACCGCGGCGAGGACCTGGCTGAGAGAGCGGAGGAGCCGATGCACAACGTGATAGCAGCCACGACAGGCCAACACACCCTGCCTCAGCACTTCCGCGACAACCTCGACAGGGTGGTACACTTGTGCGAAGAGGCTGCGGCCGCACACGAGGAGGCTTGGGGTGCACCAGGAGAAGCCGAGGCACACTTGGCAAGGGCTGAAGAGATCAGCTCACCCGCAAAAAAGGCCAGGCGTCGCGAAGCGGACGTCCTGGCACATGCTGGAGGGGCACCACGCCAGCCGACGGTGGGGGACCAAAGGCCAGAGCTCCCACTGAAAGCCCTGCACACGCTGCGCCGCTTGCAACCTTTTTTGCATGGGCAGATGCATGAGATGGCCCAGGCGGCAGTGATCGACCTACAGCAGTGGTCGACACAGTACTTTGGAGCACCAATCCAGCTTGTCGTGACCGACAGTGAGGGGTCAGAGGCTAGCACAGCGGGGCACCAACCCGCGGGACACGACCCAGGACAAGACCAACCGCGCAGACCGCACGGCTACGAAGCAGTGGCACCAGCGAGAAGGGCAAGACCGGGGACAAGACCAACGACGACCCCTACTACCAGAAGGTCACCAGCCGCAACAAGGAGGCCACGACCAGGGACAAGAGCTTCCGCAAGCCCTACTACCCGAAGGCACCATGGCTCCCACCTTTCGAGCCGACGACGACACCAAGCGGCGCAGGACCACTCGGGGCACCAGCTCAACACGAAGTGGCACCAGCCCCGCAGACGACACCAACGCAAGACGACGACACGGAGACAGGCGCTGCCGTGGTGCGCTGCGACGCCACACCTGGCCGCCGACCTTCCTCGAGCCGGGGAACCAGCTGAAGACGACCTGAGCCCCAACAGGGCAGAGTCACTTTCTTTGCCGACGTGAGCCTCAGGTGACCCACCACTTCTCACACCGAAGGTGGACCCAAACTTTCCCTCAGCCTGTTGCGTACCTGCTGTGCTTTGTGAGAGAGAGGGAACGAGGGGCACCCACCACGCACAGGTTTCAGGGTTGAGCGGAAGGTCACAGGCAGGCTTCCGTTCGGTTTGAGGCAGGGTGGACAGGCGGGTAAGGTTGAGGTAGGGCACCAGTCCAGCAAGGGGGGGCACCCGACTTTCGGCAAAACACAATTATTACACTGCTTCTGGCCTATGTGCTTTTCTCGCGGACCACGCCGAACGGGAGCCCTCCTTGCCTTTTCGAGTGACGTGGGGAACCCAACCCTTGTTTGCACCTGTGTCTTGGTTCCGTGCGAGGGTACCCCACCACTCACCTAGGAGCACCACGTTCTCTGTAAAGTCCGAGCCCATCCAATCCAAATGATGGATGGGGCAGCGCGCCCGCGCGGGGCGGGAGGACTGCTCCCGCCTCAAGCCCCTAGCAAAGCAAAGAGAGCTGGTGCGCAGGGTTGTGGGGGTCACACCTCGCCAAACCACACGCTCAGCAAGCAAGCAAGAGAGAGCGAGCGAGCGAGCAAGATGGAGAGATGGAGGATGATTACCTTTGTGCGGGCCACTCAGCACCGTCGTGTGACAAGCCGCTTGAGCAATGCCTTCTGGACGGCTGTATCCTCGGCAGGGATGGGTACAGGGATCTACCTGTACCAGTTCGCTCTGGTAGTACAGCGACGCGTGCCCAGCAAATCCGAGAGATAGATCAAGCCATCCGGGAAAAGGGCATGGAGTTCTTAGCCCGCACGGAAACTTCATTAACAAGTAGCCTTTGCTTTGATCAGTAAAGTTCGGGTTCGGTTGGGTTCGGTTCGGTTCTGTTAAACCAGTATGAACCGGATGGCGGTTCGGTTCCCGTGCGGTTCGGTTCGCGGTTCCTACCGGTTCGGCGGTTCATGCTGGCCCCGGGACGGGGGAGTACAGGTTTTTGGAACATTTGGGGCCTGAACGTGCTGAAAACCTATACTCCCCCGTGCGCCCGCGGCAATGCAGGGGAATACAGATCATGTGCTGTTTTTGTATGGTGGGAAGGAACCCTACATTCGTTACTTTTTCGGATATGCAACAAGCAGGGTTGGGGGTGCCGGGCCGGGGACGCGGGGGAGTACAGGTTTTGGAATATTTGGGGCCTGAAAGTGCTGAAAACCTGGACTCCTTCGTGCGCCTGCGGCAATGCAGGAATACAGATCAAGTGCTGTTTTCGTATGGTGGGACGAATTAGCTCCATTCGGTGCTTCTTCGGAGAAGCAACAAGCAGGGTTGGGGGTGCTGGGCCAGGGACGCGGCGGAGTACAGGTTTTGGAACATTTGGGCCCTGAAAGTGACCGTGCGCCCGAAGCAATGCAGGGGAATACAGATCATGTGCTGTCTTTGTATGGTGGGAAGGAACCCAACATTCGTTAATTCTTCTGAGAAGCAACAAGCAGGGTTGGGGGTGCCGGGCCGGGGACGCAGGGGAGCACAGGTTTTGCAATGTTTGGGGCCTGAAAGTCCTGCAAACCTGTACTCCCCCGTGCGCCCGCGGCCATCCAGGGGAATACAGATCATGTGCTGTTTTTGTATGGTGGCAAGGAACCCTCCATGCGTTGCTTCTTCGGAGGAGAAGCAACAAGCAGGGTTGGGGGTGGTGGGCCGGGACGTGGGGGAGTACAGGTTTTGGAGCATTTTGGGCCTGACAAAGTGTTGAAAACCTGTACTCCCCTGCGCGCCCCCAACGCGGATCTTGTGCTGTTTTTGTATGGTGGGAAGGAAAGATCAAACGGTCTTCGTTGTAGAGGCAAAGGACCCGACAAGAACCAAAAGAATCTGTGAGGAGGTCTTGGCTTGCTTTCGGGGCCTTAAATTCTTACAAAGCTGATTCCAAAAAGAGCCAGGCACAAGAAGTTGTTCGATGGGGCTTTGCAACCATCTCTGGCTCCTCTAAAGCATTGTTTCCGTTGTGGACACGGCCAAAGCCGGAAAGTTGACGACAGAGTCTCCTGCGATCCATGGTTCCGTTGTGGAAAAGAGGAGAAGCCAACACAAATCATAACAGTCTTTTGTCTACGTTGGAGGGTCAAAAATAAAGCTCAGAAGCCAGCTGATGAAAAAGGCAAAGGCAAGGGCAATACCAAGAGCAAGTCTAATCTTGGCAGTGGGGCTGAACATGAGGATCTTGGCGTGCTTGGGCCCAAATTATTCGCAAGAAAGCAATGCCAAAGCTTGATCTGCATGACCGACCGACGACGATCTCAAGGAGTGCAAGGACAAAGCTCTTTGTCTAGAATCTAGAAGGCGTCGCCACTTTGTGCAGATCACAAGCTTCGCTGAATAGTCAGGACTTGGCGGTCTTACACAACATATCGCAACATTGGCTGGCTTTGCTTACCAAAGATCCCTGGAGGAGGCCAGCCTTTGACTCTGCCGGTCAGTTCCTGCGCCGGGGTCCCGTTTTTTGATGAGGTTACACTCGCAGCTCCCCTGTTTGAAGGGCTGCCCACTCCCCCAGTTTCAGGAAATGCGAACTTCTTGCAAAGCAAAGCCCTACCAATAAGAGGCAGAAGGATGTTTTCCGTCTGCGGGAATATGAGCTGAAAGACTGCGGGGGTGCGGAGGTTTGGTGCCACAACAGATTCGCTTTTGCTGATTGGCCCACCAGCAACTTTGACAAGGCCCACCCCAACTTGGACGAGATCCAAACCATGGGGCGGACGCTCAGACAACAAGTTCATCAATGTGTTTGCAGACATCAAAGCAAGTATTCTGGAATGGTGGCGGACCCCGTTGGTTTGAGGAGACAGAGGCGGCAAGGTTCCCAAATGATTACTCCAAATGATTTTGAGAGCTGGCTGCTGATTCTGCTGGAGAACAGCCCCAAAGTTGGCAGTTTTCCCTGCCAGATCATTTTTGCAAACACCGTGGTTCTTTTCTTGAAGGACAAGCGCCACCGAGCAGTGATCGCCACTGATTACGAAGGCGTGGCCGCTGGAGTGGACAAAGCGAGAAGATGGTGGACCTCGCGGAGCCGGAGAAGGACTTGAGCTCGCAAAAAGATCTCCTGCGCCCGCTAGATTCTGCTAGATGTCTTCTTCCACTCCTGGAACACAGCCTTCGAGTGGGAGGAAAGTGCACTTCATGCCCTTTGGAACCTAAGATGCACGAGAGCTCTACAAGCAAAGAAGCTCCACCACGTAAAACGCAAGCTCCCAGTACCAGTGCGGTTCACCAGCCCGCCAAACAGAGGATGATGAAAAGGACGACCTTTCTCAGAAGCAAGCATCGAGCGGCATAGGCTGCTCCAGAAGATTCATACCTGTACCAAGAACGTTCGCAAGGTCAAGCTGTACGCGATATCGATTGTTTCCTTACATTTCTTCCAGGAAATAAAGATGTTCTTTGAAGATGCAACAAACTTGATGATCCAGGCACAGCTCGCCAGAGAGTTTGCGGCCGATCACCACATGGCGGAGGACCTTCTACTCAACATCGATTCGCTCAAAGGCCGTATCGAGATCCAGATACATTGCGGAGCGGTCGGCTGGATGGCCCAAATCGGCTGAACGAGGTCATTGCTGCATTGCGGGTCCTACATGTCTTTCTTCTCTCAGTCTGCTCCAGCGTTTCGTGGATGGACACGTCAAGAGGCGCACTTGGGGGAATCAATACCGCTGCATGGCTTCTGAGCTATATATGAGAAGAAAACGTCTCCACACCCAAGGGGCTTCCGCAAACAAACCTCGTTCAGGATACGGCCTCGCTGCGTACCAGCCAACCCAAATAATGCGGGGCTGCTCGGAGGAGCAACGTTGGGACTGCCGGCGCCTCATTCCCTGATCAACGTAGCCATTTTGGCTCAAGTGCTGCGCCCTTTGCTGGGGGGACTGTTCCCCTCTGGCATCGGTGGGGAAGGCGCGGAGTTGGCCCAGGGGGTGTACCCCCTTGGGAGAGCTTCCGTCGCTTTTCCCGGCAGTGCTTGAGTCGCACGCCCGCCGCATCTGTCCTCAAGTGGCCCATTCGGTTAGGGTCGCTCGCGCTGCAATTGCCGATCAAGAAGAAGGCAAACCGTGCGCTCTTCCAGAACACCGCTCTTGCCGGGGTGATAGGTGTGCAACGTTCCCCGCCGTGAACCGCTGCTGCCCAGGACCTTGAGAGCTTTAGGTACCGCTTCATCCAGGCACTCGGCGACCCTACTCCACTCTTACGTGCTCAAGACGATTCTGCCGGGGAAGTTCCTCGAACGCGACCTTTGCCCACTACCTGATCGTGACTTGGGCATCGCCGCTGAGAATAATATCTGTGCCTTCGCTTTGGCCTCATGGCAAACCAACAGGGGAACACCGGGAAGTGCCTTAGGTGCATAAGGGGCTACTCTTTTCATGGGGGGCATGACCGCTCCGATCCCGAGTGCATCTTGCATGGGTGTCACAGTGAAGATGCGAGGGAGATGCAGGCCTTTATCTGTCAGAGAAAGATCGACAGAGCCGTGAAGGAGTCACTTCGCCAGGGGGATGAACCTCCGCCCCAGCCTGTTCCTTCCCCTCCCGCACCTACACAGGGGGGCCACCCCAGCTCTACGACTCTCTGCCTGAGGTGCCTGAAGGGCGAACGGAGCCACCACAAGCACGACCCCTTGGCGGACAACTGCATACTCTTCGGGGTGAAACACCCGACGCTCACTAAGGCTCGCCAAGCTTGCACGGGATGAGGACCGGACCACTGCAGCCTTGAGCTCGACTACCTCTACGTCCCCTCCTCCCCCCCCTAAGGCCAAAAAGCAGCGCAGGTACCGCCATGAAGAACCCCAACAGCAGGAGGCACCGCCTAGCAACATGGATGAGAACGAGACGGACGAGCTCCTCGAAGATCGGCTAAAGCAACTTTTCGGTATATCGAGCCGGACAAGCAGCTCCTCAGCGACACGGACAACGCCGGTACGAGCCTTCGCAAGCCCACCCGCACTTCTGACGCCGCCTTCGCCGGCAACTCCAACACAGACGGGGACACCATCCTCGAGCTCAACATCGACCAAGCAGGAACCAGCACAAGGAGGGACACCTTCTCAACAACGACAGCTACCTGAATGGGTTCTACCACCTTTCGTTGGGCCAAGATCACCAGGCATAATACGGGGGATCACACCTATAGAGGCCAATGCTGCTCCTGCCGTTCCAGCTCCGATCCATGACATCCCAAGCCGAGTTCAAAGAAGCTTGGAACCGGACGAGAAGGTGGATAACACCTTTGCCGACGCCGTGAAGAGCGAGCTCTACTACCAGGGGACGGAACCCATGCAGGCGACGAACGCCCTCTACCCCAGCGATAAAGCCAATATTCCTCTCCAGGGGACCTCCCCTTTGCAAACTGCTGACCGCCGCGCCAAAGACGAAGTGCTTGATACTCAGGTAGAGACCTCGAGGGACATGCCCGTCAGCCTCGCAGGCGCAAGGTATGAGTCACGGGGACTGCACCCCACCGTGGATGTCTTCAATGATGTTGCCTACATCCCTGGGGCGAGCTGCTCACTGCTGGGGGACTCCTAACGCCAAGACTGAACAACAGGAACCGGACGATGCCGTGATGGACACGCCCGGGGAACTGCCCGATGATGAAGTTTTGGAAGCAGAAGAGGATGAAGTTGAGAAAGGGGGGCCACCTCTGCGACCTTCCGAGCCCACCGGAGCACCTCCGAAACTCACACAACGTCAACGCTGGAGGCTTCAACAACTCCTCGAATCCGGGGAAATCACTCGGCTATCCGTCAATGAAGACGACGCCGCACTTTGGAGGAGATACAGAGGCGACAGCAAGGAGGCCTACCGCGCGTATAGGAAAAGTCAACGACGGGCTGGAGACTGGAGGCCGGACAAGAGAAGGCAGAGTGATGCCTGATGGTCGACGTGAACTAGGAGTATAACTAGGACGAAGACTACTGAGCGGGGCTACCCGCGCACGAGCAGCACTACCAAATGAGCGGCGCTAAGAAGAAGGGGACAACCCCCCTGGTTTTTTGTGCACTTTTCAGCGAAACATGGGCACTGTCAGATGCTGGTTTGTCTTTTCGGGGCTTTTGGCTTTGCCTGGTCTGTTTCGGAGATCTTTGCCCGTGTTTCCTAATTGGGGTCAGTGACGACTTTTCTTCGGTGCGAATAGTACCTCTTCTCCATCCGCGATGTGTACCATAGGGGGGAACCCCACTTCTCGATCCTTCGATCTGTAAACTAGTTTCTGACGGGCCGCTGGAGCCTTCCAAACTCTCTCCATTTTAGCCTCCACTCGAGGCACGTGCACCACGTTTAAAGACCGGGGAAACCCCGCATCTCTTTTCCTTTTCCATGACGGGCCGCGGAGCCTCCTAAGCACTCACCTCTACACCGCCTTTTATGCATGTCATGACCCTGCACTTCAAGCCGCCCACCGAGGCAGGTTCGCAGTGATCTTATTTCCATGTTGCTTTGCCCTTTCGCCAATCTGCCTTGGCGGTGCGCGCACGTCTTTCCTCTGGCACCCGCAACTGTCGGGGGCGCTCGACGCGCGCGGTGTAGGGGGTCTCCTCCCTACACCCTAGCCCTGGCGAAAGAAAGAAAGAAAGAGAGAGAGAAATGGCAAATGGCAAATGAAAGACGTGCTTGTGTGGACCCTCCTCCAGGCAATACTGAAGTTGCTTCGTCCAGCCACCAACCGCAACAGCACCGTGCCCCACCTCAAGTGGCACACACCCCCGGGGAGGCAACCCCGTACCAAATCGTAAAGGCCCAGGAGCTCCTCAGTCAGGCGACCCCCTTCATGACGCACGACACAGCACAGCAGGTTCCCTCACCTCAAACGCCCGGCAAGCAAGCAAGAGCCCTGGCGAAGGAAAGAAGAAGAGAGAGAGAGAGAGAGAGAGAGAGAGATGGCATGAGGCGGAAGAAGAGATAGCGGGGGCTCGCCCTCAAGCCTGGGGAAAGAAACAAAGATAGAATGAGAGAGAGCGGGGATGTCGTGGAATTTATGGTTACCGGTCCCGGTCCCGAGGTAAGCACCTCAAGTGATCAAGTGTGTGATTAGAAGGACGACCAGTACCGCCCAAGCTGAGCACGAACGACGGATAAAATTTTCGGGCTGGGGAAAGCACTTGCAACATCAGAATGGTGACAGGGAGTCCTGTTCGCGGTATGGCAAAACGGCAGCATACAAGTTCGAACATGTGGTACATTCGCCCCTTTCTGACGAAATCAGCGTTTAATTGATCATGAGGATGGTGAGCTGACATTGGACGAACTACTCGACGGTGCCCACCACGACTCTGAGTTTCAAAGCCGGCTGAAGGTCATGGATATCGATGAGGCCGGTCAGGGGTTTCGATGGTTTCGTGCAAGGTAATAATGCAGAATGCCCGTTGTGGCCATGACTTCGAGTCTCAAACCTGCCAACCCTTTCAATAAGCTTCTTCAGTGCGAGAGCAGTTGCTGGTACTGTACCATATCTTTGCGTGCCCCCACATTGGGAGCTGTCGGAAGTTGCCTCTGTACCAGTACCTTGATCGGTGCTGAAAGGAATTATGCTACATGCCTTCGAGTTTGCCTCAGGTTGACTTGCAGCAGCTTTTTGAGATGATTGACGCGGATGGATCCGGTTCCATTGCAGTGGAAGAGTTCATCGTCCCCCTAAGCCGCTGCTGAGCAGACGAGAGCATCCATTTCGGAGCGGTCGGGTTGGGACTTTTAACTAGCACCTGCGTGCGCCAAATGATTTTGTTGGATCGAGAACCTATCCCACCCATCGCCGCAGCCTCAACGGTTGCATGCGACCTAGACCAGGTTGGGTACATGACTCCAAGACTGCGCCGCGCTTCATCAAGTACAATCTGCTGCGTGCGATGACGCAGCAGGACAGCCGGAAGTGAAGCTTGCAAGCTATTCCTACTAGTAGTTTTTCAAGCATCTGGAAGCCCCAGGTTCCCAGGCAGCTGCACAGAGCAAACGCCAAAGGGGAGTCCCAGTGTTGCCAACCCTCTCTACTTCTCTCCCCCCAACCGCTTCTCTAAATCTCGACTCTTGAAGTCGGTAGTTTCTCAGGGGTACACAGGGGCTATTGTGGAAGAGGTGTTATCATGAAGCAGCTACAGCCACAGCCGTGAAGGAGGAGCTACTGCGGTTCTCGCACCAGAATTTCAACTCCATGTTTGAACGAGTGGATCGAATGTCTTTGGTCCTCAACAATCTTGCCGCCAAGCACGGCTGCGCGACAAAGCCGAGCAAGTCGACGGCAGCGTTCAACGAAGGTGCAACGAAAGACCCGGTCTTGACCCCAGACTCCCTTTGCCGTACATGTATCAGGCCCTTGTTGCCTTTGGTTGCTGAGACTCGTTCAACCAGCCTAAGCTCGCAACTTCCTGGTCAATGGCTGAAGGTTTCCGCAGAGAAGCAACTGGGGCACAAGGCTGACGAGGTGAGAAGGGGCCGTCTTTCTGTCGTGGGTGTGAGAGTGTGAGTGCGGGAAACGTGGATGTCGGCGTGGCTGTGACCACAGAGTTTCCAGACATCTCTGCTCGCTAGGAGAAGGTTTCTCCCGATGCCCATAGTTTGGAGCAGCCACATGCGTCCATCCTCTCTCCCCAGCTGAACAACCTCAAGGGTGACATGGAGACGGCCTTAGAGGCTGGCCGCACTCTTCCTAAAGATGCTGTCTGTCCCGACACGAGCAGGATCTGGAGTGATGCGACTGATATGGTGTCTGATACTGCTGTGTCGATTTTGTGCAGGCAGCGTTGCTGGTCTTGGATGCCTCTTTCCGGGACGCCGCAGATGCCCTGAAGCAATCCCAGTCAGTGGTCGAGAGCCAGCTGGGGCTTCTCGCAGAGTCGGTGACAGGTGCAAACAGGCTCGACGCTCCCTGCCTCTTCCGTCATGACTGTGGGTTGCACTCGCGTGGGCTATGCAGGAGTCAAAGCGTGCAAACGAGAAGGGAGGCTCCGGAAACGAGTCACGAGGTTGGAGATCGTTCGCCACCGGACAGACCTGCGTCGGAACTTGCTTGCATCTCAGCCAAGCATTTGGAGGCAGCATGTTTCATTCGATGGTGTCCTGTGGTAAACCAGTGAATCCAGTCAGGTCCGGCTCAGGACAACTGTGGGGCAAAAATTAGTCCGCAGGGATGTGCAGCAAGACAGGGCTCAAGGCAGCGGAGGTTTCGCAACTTGCTGAGGTGCAGGCAAGCCGCCAGCACGACAGCACGCGGACGTCTCACGGGATCCAGATTGGAAGAGAAAGGAGAAACCTGAAAAAGCATATGGCCAGCAGCAGCAGCGGACCATTTGAGGAGTTTGAAGGGTCTTAGCCTGGGGAACACCCAGCGAGACATCCTTCTGCTTTGGGAAGGTCCGGCCCGAAAAGGGGCAGCCAAGCGGAATTTCAATTCGTCAAATCACCCGAAGAATTCCAGGCGAGTGGATGGAAGTGCTGTGGAGTCGGGTGGAGCAGGCAAAGCCTGCGTGTTTGAATATTGCTGCGTTTGAAGATAGTTTCCACCAGGCGTGAAGCTTGAGAAGCCAACAGTGCGCCTCAGCTGAACTTTCCACCTTTCCAGGCGGTATAGCCGCCCAGCCAAACGCTTACCTATCCGACAGGATGTTGAGCAGGCAAATGTGAAAAAATGCGTTGAGGCTCTCGCTGGCCCTTGATGCGAGTAGTCTCCAGCAGGCATGTGGTGCAAAGAGTCCGAGTATGCCGTGCCAACCGGCGCAGCCCACGACAATGAAACTCGCAGCCAGCAAGGCAAGACAACCGACGACCAGATAGTGATAAGCCCTGTCGGAGGACACGACCTTCAGCACGAGGAAGAGCGAGCTTGCCTTGCTTCGGGGACGTGCCTCCGATCAGGACGTCTTGGAGAGCACCTCTCTTAGTTTTGTTTTTGGTGATGTGCTTTCAGGTCAGACTTCATTGTAAATGAGATGCACTTCAGCTTGGAGATCTAGTGAGGAAAGCAGCAACTCAGCCCAGCCGCCTGTTACGAAATTGTGCCCAATCTTCACAGGCCCATGAGTTTGGCTGGTGTGGCTTCGCCACACACTATTTGTGCAGGCGGCCAAATGCATCCTTCATCCTGCGAGACTCCCTCAACTAAACAGAACAGGAGGAGACCTTGCACTTTGTGGCAGCAGAACAGTGAGGCGACTGCGAATCACCAAAGTCGGTGCAGCTCAACAATCGGCCAGAAGCATTGCAGTCCCCCCCAGCCCTGGCAGCCAGGACGCGGACGCAGTCATTCGTCCGTCCTTTTATGCTTCCTCACCGAGAAACCTGCGAATCGAGGATGAAATCAATTCAACGGCTTGCCGATTTCAGGGCGAGACCCGAAGATCAAACCAAAAGTTTAACAGGTTGCAAATGCCGCGTAGACTCGTGCGAGCAGGAGGCACTGTTTGACAAAGTCTGGCCTTTTTCAGGGCATCCACCCGGCACGCTAACAACCGGATCTGCACCGACCACGAAGGCCTGGATGCGTGCAAAGGAGGCTTCAGTTGCCGTCGATACACTAGAAGCAGAATACAGTACAGCCTCGCGGTTCTCAAGCTCGACGGATTCAGTGCTCTTCGTTTGCTGTTCAAGATGCCACGACCTTAGTAGCTAAGATTAAACCGAAGTCAACAGCTCAGAGTAGCAGCATTCGCAGCTCCTCGTCCTGTATCTTCCTCCAGGCGATGTTTGTCAATTTTCTCTGCGATGCGTTGCTGTTGGATGCAATCCTTGCTGGGCTTCCACATGTCAACAGAGCATGAAGCTCAATGTCAGTAATGTTCCCACCGAGTGGGTGCAGCACGGGCACGTCGATGTGCTGCCTTGGATGGCTAACGGGGAGCGCTGTCTTGAGATCATGTCCCAATTCCGTTGCCGAGTGCTTTTGACGGGCTTGGTTTGGAGCTAAGGTTATGTCAGCTCCGTGGATCCTCGCAGCGGCTCGCCACAAGTGCTCATGATTCCTAGTGACAACACTTCACCTGCTCTCTGTACGTCTGCATCCTCCAAGAACAACTGTTTACCATGTCTGCACATCCCGGAAGACAGAGAGATAATGCATGAGCGGGTGAGTCGGTTCCTTCCTTCCGGCTCAGTTCGAGGTGCTGACCCGTGGATGTTCGAGTTCATCTCTTTGGGGCAGATAGGCCCGGTCAATTTTTCGAGACAGTGCCGAGACACTGGTGCTGGCAACAGTCGGCAGGGTCTCCGCGACATGCCATTTCGTACCATGTCCCATGCTTGCTCTATGATTTTCGCACAGTGCTTACATACTGCATCTCTTCGCACAACATATGCACTGCTGAGATCGGGTGCGCTGGCCTCACACTTTACATTAAGCCTCGCTGTCAACAGTGCTCTTTAGCATGGTGGCAGCGGAACAGGTACGTAGCTGCGTGTAGGTTAGACGGATCGCAAGCTTTACCCGCCACGTTTCTGCAGTTTCCTTGAAAAAAAGTAAATCTGCTTGCCCGCCAGGTCTCGTGCTTGACAGCGCTCTTTTCGTGCATGGCGGGCTCAGAGATGAGAATTTGGGCTGCATTCCTGGACACTCAGGCCCCTGGCCCTGCAGTCAACGCGGGCATCACACAGGGCTGCGAGAGATGCAGAAAGCTTTGAGCATTTAAACTCAGATCGTCCATCTGCTGCACGCTAGTCTTGCGTGGTGGGTAGCGTTGAAGTTGAAAGCATGTGCCGCAGAACGATGGGATGACGTCCAAGAGTGGGTCGATCATCTAAACGTGGGCAGCCCAGAGACGATTCATGTTGTGGTTGCCGGCGCCCCTTGCTCCGCCTTGTTAAACAATGATTCCGCATGCTTAACTGACGGCACAAAGAGAGCCAGAGAGAGAAACTGAAAGCTCGCGACCCGTCCCTCTGGCCGAGTTGAAAAAAAACTGAAAGGTTCCGGGCCTGTCTGTGCAATGCATGTCGAAGGTTTCCACTGCAAACCGTCTTCGCATTCATTCCTCATAATATGTTGGAGGGGGCTTTCACTCGTGACCGATGCGGACTCTTCGGTGATGTGCACTGGGAAAAACTGACCACTGCAAATGCATTGGTATCCGCACGTGACAGAACTCTTCTTTGGCCGAGCTCGGTCCTGTGGCCTTCGCCAAGGCCTGGAAAGACCAGCAGCTGGCAGAGTACGTATCCAAGCCCTACTTTTACACTGAAAATGGCGCGTGGGCCCCTGCTGCAAGGGTTCCTCTTCGTTTTGCAAGATATTGGCTCGAGGTACCGCTGCTTTGCAGTTTCCATCAGTTTCCTACAAACGTTGACGATGATTTTGTGTCTTAGTATGTTGCCTTTCATCAACAACTCTGACACCCTACTCGGCAAGTGTTCAGCACACAAGCTCTCGTATCGCCTTCGCATACACGTCCTGCCATACGGGCTGCTCTGTCTCATTGAAGGACGTCCCCCCGGCAGTCACAAAGCTGACAGTGCACGGTCTGATCAAGCAACTGCCATGTCGCACCCGAAAGCGTCCGGAATAAAACGTGCTTCATGTGTTTCTTAGAGCGGTGATGGCCGGAGTATGATCTCAACCGTCCATGTTGCGCAAAATGCTAGTTCGCCAATCACTGAACGTCACAGCAATGAAGCCATATGAAAAGCAGATTTGATCTGCAAACTTCAGGTGCGCAAGCGAGGTGGCGAGACCCTGATCGAGTACGGCACTCCTGGCCGCTAGCCTGACGCTCCTAAGTTTTCCTCCAACACAGCCTACTGATCAGCATGATTGTTTTCAAGCCTATCTCCGCCTGGGTAATTCGACTCGCAGGTGAGTTTCCATAGCGCTTTCAGCTTCCGGTTAGTTGTTGCGAGCCATACCCGAGGTGGAGGTAAAGAGACTGCTGCTTGGCATTTTTCAGAGCTGTGTTTCTGTCGGACAGGGCGCTTGCTCGATCGACCTAGAGTCCTAGGGTCCTGGAGACCTCGTGTTGGTTTTGGATGACTGCTCTTGAAGTCAGTGTCAAGTTTTCCAGAGACAGGTTATCTACGTCAACCCGTTCAAGGACCTGGAGAGTCCTACACCTCTTGAGCTCATGCACGAGATTGTGATTGGGCACAAGATCGTGATCGTGAAAGCACCCACCGAACGAAGCCTTCAGTCGCAGTGGATAGCAAGACAGCACATTTTTGCATCATTCTAGAGAGGGGGCCAAGCCACAGAGCCTTACTGCTCGCATTGGCTGCAAATTGCACGTAGTGCTTCACAAGCAAGGTTCGAAGGTATCGAGAGACAGAACGCGAGGGAGGGAGCTGGCGGAGAATTGTACAACATTATGCCTTCGAGGGAGGTTCAAAGCCTTGCTTCCTTGCGACGCCGGAGGTTGCAACCTCTAACATCCCCATTATTTTAAAGCAGAGGAACTGCACTGTGCTACTTGCGGCAATGTTTGTGAGGACGGAAACCCTCAGCAACGCTCAGAGAAGGCTGGGCCATCATGCAGAGCTGTTGCATCGCAGTATACAGTAGGTCTGCGTTGCTGCACATTCCTCCGGAAAGTTTCGTGAAGTTTGCGGCGGACGGGAGGAAGAAAGGCTTAGGGAGAACGGCGGCAACAAAAGTCAGTCGAGGTGGTGACGTTAGCGGATCAATTGTCAAAGATGTGAGTTCAGACGAAGCTTAGCATCTGCGCCCCTGAAGCCTTCCCCGTCCTTACTTTCTGTTCATCTTCCACAGCTGTAACAACCAAAGGTGCAAGACTACCTGGAAAGGCCCAATGCTCGGTCGGGTGCGTCGCAGAAGGGTTTGACTTACACCTGGGCAGCCAGAATTTAACGGATGTCCGTAGACAGTAGATGAACCAAGCACTTGCTGAGCAATCGTGCATGCACTCAAAGAAAATATCAGAGGATGCTCGAGCTTCACTTGCACATACCCACCGTCTGAAATGCAGCCAATCCACATTCAAGATGTGCCCAGTAGGCTGAGACATGTTTGCAGTGTGCAACGTTCTGCATCCTAGCAGATAGCCAGACAAATGCCTGGCTCGATATGGCACATGCCCAGGAGTGTTCGGAAAGTGTCACTAAGATTGCATACAGGTTGCTCAGGCGCATAGACCGCCACATTAAGCCTTTTGTGCTCACTTAATATGTTGCGCATTGTGTCTCTCAGCACGGCATGCTTTCCTGTTTCGTGAGCGATGACTGCCGTCTCTAGATTACTCGACGGTCTCTGATACGAACATGTAAACCTAACTTCTATTGAGGTCCGGCATTCGGCGCGTTTTCTCGGGACATCAGCCACACGGGCAGACTCCAACAGCACGAAGCTTACTCACTGCACAGTCTTTGGCTTCCTGAGTGCTTCGGTTCTTAGCAGTTTTACGCATCCAGCGCGAGGTCGTCCGGCATCCCAGGCATGGTCTGCTGTGGATCACGGCAGACACATCCCGATCAGAGCCCCCGATGCATTCTGGTGTGTCAGTGCTGGGCTGCTGCTTTATATTTGCTGAGTTTGGTGCTATTCCTGTCAAATCACAAAACGCCCGCGTTGCCGACATCAATGTATTCCAATTTAGCACGAGCAAGTCGGGGATGTCCGAAGTTTGAGTCGTTGGGTAAACCGACCTGGCTCCCAGCAAGCAGTGTTTCACTCAGGACAGCACGGCCAGCAAGCTTTTCAACCCTGCTGACAACAGGGGGAGCGCCATGTCCATTGCAGTGGGCCCGGGATAGTTTGACTTGGCTGATCCGTTTTGCAGCGCATGTGTCCGCGACAGCATGTCTGCATTGCACATCCTCGTAAGTTTCATCAGTGCAGTGCCTGAACCGCAACAATCACGTGTTCTGCTCAACAATGATATGGCTTTTTCCGGCACGCGGTCCTGGCCTTGGCAATGGGATTCAACAAAAACACTCATCGTGGCGTAGCAGCACACACAAGCTGGGGTATACACCTGCTGAAATCGAGACCTGCGTAAGTTATGCAGCCGCGACAGGATGAAGACGCACCTTTGCAGATGCATCGGTTCGTAGAACATGTCTGCGAGATGCCTGTTGCATTAAAGGTGAGAGTCTACTCCGAGTCTGTCGAGATCGAGGCAATGCCGTGGACCCTTGTTGATTGCATGTTTGTGCCAAAGCCCGCAAAGCTCGCATGCACAGCCAGCTCGAGTCTTTTCTTTATTGCTTCAGTCCTGCGCTGCAGGGAACACTCGTGGATGGCAGACAGCACAGGCCCCGAAACGGCGCATCCATGAAGTGTTTTTGGTGGGTACCTGGGCGGACCCCTTAGTAAGTAAAGCCTGGATAAGCAGTTTCGGCTATCCGGTTACTTCTGGGTTCACCCAACTCCCACCTTCGGTTTAAATTCCTCAGCTTCGATGAAGTCACGCCCGTGCACCCAAGCCCGCTGAAGAATGAGGAAGCAGGCAGGTGATTCGATACCATGGGTTTTACAACACCCTTGCGTCGGACCGGTCTATGTGCCCAGCAAGGGCACTCGACAACATTCTGCACGGTCAAGGTCATGGAAAGACTGCATGTTCTGCACGGCCTTGTAATTTGGATAGGCGGCCAGCTACCGGCGGCTTAGGGTGATCATTTGGTGGTAGTGGTGTTGCAAGGTGTTGAATTAAGACCAACAGCGCACGCTCTTTCCCGGCAGCTGTGCACAAGACTTGTGCACTTACTGTAGGGCCCGGAATCATCCCGAAACCGAAACCGGTTGCAGCACTCGTCACTAGAGCTGTAGCGTTATAAATACACAGATCTTTCGGCAGGTGCCTTGTGCACAACAACCCCGCGAAGGCTGTGCAAGTAAACAGGGCTCAGAGTTTTCTGATTCCAGGTGGACCTTCCAACAGTGCTACAGTGCTACTGCCATGCGTAAGGGAGGTAAGGATTCTCCATTGCGTTTCCGATGTTGCGGTTGGAGCCCTGCGGTCTTCACTGTGAGGACAGGTTGCCCGACGCACTAGTCGGGCGACAGCTAAATGACGGCTCATGGGCGCGGCTCCAAGTCCAAGGCAATGTAGAGTGACAGCTCTCGGGCTCCTGGCCTGGACTCCTAGCTTCAATGCAAGACTGGTGCATCTGGTGCACATGGCTTCTCGAAGACTCGAAGGGATGCTGAATGCACGGTGTGATGCTAAGCCGCTAAGGTAAAGACCATCGTCTTTCCAAGTGCGCCGCCTGAAGGCGAGACTGAGAGCGTGCCTCGCGTGGGAGCTCAGTCGACAGTCCAGCAATTGGTGTGTGCTTGCTTCTGTCACACTCCAAGTTACAAAGTTACATGTGCGTTTACACGGGGGAAAGGCTGGCCCACCGTTTTTGCCGTGACTTCGGTGTTTACCTGTAGCTCAGCGACGAAAGTCGAAGTCAAGTTAAGCATTCCCCAGGCTTGGCTCACGATGTGAAGCTGGTGCAGACGGCACTCGGGAAAGGCTTCAACGTCAAGGCAAAGAGCGATGATCCGAGGATCTTGCGACATGCATGCCCTGTTTTGGCACGTGCCTCGCCGAGCTTCCTTTTCCTTAGGGTTTAGCCCTCGCTGCCCTAAAAGATTTTGCTTAGCGGGTTATTACCCAACGCCCGCTTGTTGATGGTGAGGGTTCCGGAGCGCTAAATATGTACATCGGTAGCTCTGGGGTACACTAATAGGCTAACTTGCCAGCCCTTTGGCAGGTCTCTGACCTTCGAGAGCACACAGCCTGCTTGTTGCTACGGGACGAGACGCTGCCTCAGCAACTTGCTATTAGAGGTTTGGTATTCTGACAAGCGATGGCAAGTTGCAGTGCCTTGCATACTTGCTCGAGCGAACGGCCACGGTGCAGGTTCAAAACCCGCGACATCTTCCGGGTGCGCCCTCGTTTGTGGAACTCCGCTGGCTTCCATGTAAGGAGACGGACAGAAACACAAAGTCAGAGACATCAGAAACAGCCACGTTTGAACACAAGGTAATAGTGGAGTGGTGGGGTAGCAGTTGCAGGTTTGGTGCTCATTTGTGTGTTGTGGTTTTTCAGGGCAAGATGCCACACCTAAACGCTAGTTGGACCGTGCCCTGTGTCTTGCAAGCTGGATCTCGTGCCAGGTTTCTGTGCGAGACTTCCAGGCAGGGTAGTAGCCTGAGAGCCTGCGACTGCCAATCTTTGCCTAGCTCCGCACCCGACTACATATAAAAAGATGTGCGATTGTGCGAGAGAGACCGTGGGAGCTGCTGAGAGGCCTCGTCGAAATCTCAGACAGGACTCGAGGCTCGCAGCCGTGATGCAGTTGCTATTCTCAACTCTTCACGCAACCTTGCATCCATGCGGCATGATGACTTAGTTGCAAAAGTCGCTGGAAGAGGCTGTACCTCATCAAAAGCCGGGCCTCTGCAGCCGCCCCCAGTCATTAAGCCTATTCGACCCAAAGTTGTGTCTGAGTGCCATGGTTGGCTTGAAAACCTATGCTAGGCCACAGCCAAACAGGGCAGCACATCGATGCGAAAGCTTTGCAACTTTGCATGGTTTCCACCCATCGAAAGTATGGTTTCCAGTGCCCTTCCTTTCAAGGTCAAGGGCTTTATTGAATCTCGCGCCATTCTGCAGTTGGTCGATTCTTCTTCTTGTGAAGTGGAACGAGCGGTTGCTTTGTTTAGTGGTCGTTTCATGTGCAACATAGGGAACCCCCAGAGTTCAAGGGATTTTGGACAGATTCGCTGCCCGCACCGCCTGGCAGGACTGTCGGGATGCAGACCTCACGAGCTACTCCATTCAGGAGCCTTGCACAACCCGTCCTGCCCTCCTAAGCTACCCGCAAGCTCGGCAGAGGCCTGGCTGAGCATCTGTCACGCTTCCCTGGCCTTTCTTCGCAAGTTGCGCCGGGCTGGTTTGAGTGCATGACGTCGGGCTTCGGCATCATAAGAATATCCTGGTATCAGTCGTGGTAGTTGTAGTTGTAGTGGGAGTTCTGCTAGTCTTTCTTGCATGTCAGATCGTTTTCCGTGTGTGCCGCCGGAGCTGAAAGGGTCCGACATCCGTTAAGCTTTCCATCTCAAGCTCACCTCTACGGCGACGACTACTATCACCAATACGGTTGACATTATTGTTTCCCCTTTATATTGGCACTCGAGCAGTGATGCCGATGGTGTCGCAAACGGCAAGAGGAACTGTCCGGGCGAAGAAAGCAAATTGGACCTATTGTTGTGTGAGCTGGCTTCGGTAACCTGAGCCACAGCTTTCACTTGCTCATACCAGTCCACTCGACCCTTCGAGTGCTTCTAGGCGAACGTTGAGGCCAAAAAGCACGTTCGGGTCTTTGTGTCTCAACCAAACAAGTCCTAAACGTCACGCACTACTGCCATGGTAGATGTAGTTTTGCGACATGGTGCTGCCATGTTGGCAGCCTTCCGAACCTTGGGTACACCTCTGGGATGGCTTTGCGGTGGCTCTGTCCCTGCCTCGGCTGCTTCTCCGGCCCAAAGCTTCTTCAGCCGCTTCCAGGAGAAGGTGCATGTAGGGGCCTGGATGACTCACACAGGGCCCTCTTGCATGCATGTAACGTTGCCTGCATTAACCCCCCGCCTGCGGCGATTGAATCAATCCCTGGCGCCGCACCCGTTGAGGAGGGGTTGGTAGTGGTGGTGGTAACTAGTAGTAGTCCGGATGCAAAAAGAAAGTCAAGGTGATAGTAGTCGTCGACGTAGCAATAGAAGTAGCAGCGGCGGCAGTAGGGTTAGCAGCCGTAGTAAGCTCAAGCAGGCCAAGCCGGAATTCTACGCTATTATGGGGATCTTCGGCGACGTGTTCCTTAAGCTTGGGTTCCTGCCGCCGAGTTGCGCAACGAAGGGGGACGGGGGGGAGGAGGTTTAAAAAGATGAAGGTGGCATTATGCAAATCACCGCAGTAGTTGCATGAGAAGACTTCCGGAGCAGGGAAATGGCACCGACGCCGCTTGGGGTTTTGGGCGACTGGACGCAGAAGCGGCCACGCAGATTTTGCAAATTTGGTCTGTCTCAGTCGAATTGCAAGTGTGCACACAGCTGATAAGTCTGGGGTGGCAGGCACTACAGAACCTGCAGTCTGCGAAGTTTGCGCAGGCAGAGAGGCCCGTCTGGTGGACTCATGACAGCGTTTGCAGCCGGAGTCAACCGGACGGATGTGATCAATGACCGTACTTTCTTCGCCGTTAGGACCGAGTGTCCGAATTCAGATTCAGATAGACTAAGTTTGTCGAGTGTCCCTGCATTTGGATGCATGCGGCAGGTTGTGTACAAAGATCGGGATGGCTTGTTGGCTAACTTGGACGGGGCGGGCGACTATGACATCATCAAGTGTCCTCGTTGCCAGGGCATCTCGGTGAATATTGACCGTAGCAGGCTTTTCGGAGAATGCGTGATCTGCTCAGCAAAACGCGAGAGCATGGCCCATTACAGTGTAGAGCTCGTATGCGTGGTGGACCCGATGGGTTTCGGGAAACTTGTTGGCACAGAGTTTGCACGGGCTCGACACATCAGAACGAATCGCCACGGCAGGAGCTCTTGAGAGTAATGCGACAAGCACCGTTGTGCCCCGACGCGGCGTGTAATGTTCAGCCTTCAACTCTTCCGGAGCAGTGGTGTGGACATGGGCTGGGGGATGTTTTGAGAAGACCAGTACTCAGATGTATTTGTGAGACCGGGAAGCTGTGCGAAGCACTGAATTTCCTTCACCGACTTCCCCGCAACCCCTTCGGGGACCGAAGCCCGAAATGGATTTGCAGCTGCATGCTTGGAAGCACCTGGTGTGTGTTTCGGCCATTTCCGCTTCGGTGATCATTCCGGTCCGTGTTTAAAGACCTCTGCCCTGCGAGAGCCGAACTTAAAAGCAGCACGCAACTGCAAGGTCTTTCCAAACCCCGATCCACCCCGCTGCAAGGGTTTGCTTTGTTCCTGCATGTGAGACCTGGGAAGACTGACCGACAGCTCTGTGAAACTTTGGGGCTCAGACAATTCAACAACGGCCAGGGGCTTGTCAACCAAAGCACTTGCAGTTACAGTGCACAGTGTTAAACAACTAAGGCGCCTCCACATGGATCGAATGCTGCCACGATCCTCCGAGGAAGTATCCCGGGATCCTGAAGCGCGGCGATCGCAAGATCGCCGCTTCGAAATGCACGGAGCCGTTTGCGCGACAGCAAAATCCATTGTGTCATACCAAGTTGCAGACTACAGGTCTACAGTATCACGGTTAATAACTCATGTCACACTCTACGGACATGTGCAATAACTGGAAGTGTAAAGATATGATACCCAACGAAGCCACAGTCGGATTGTTTGCTCCATAAGGAGCTGGGATCAGAAGCTGGCCTAGTTGCTTGACCTTTACCTTCTTGTTGGTTATATGGCCCGCACGAACATTGAAGAGGTGCAAGCTCCCAGCCAAGATAAGGGCAATCAGGACAAAGGCGAAAGATACGACTATCGCAAAGTGTGGTGTCTCCGATACTCATACGGCCCAGAAAGCCCTGTTTGTTTACGGCAGGGGCAAGAGAAGACCTTGACAATGCTTCCTGGGGAGCATACGTCCCGAGATGGGAGCAAAGTTCTCGATGTCATGGCATGAATCCCTGGACATCCCGGGACGGAGAACTTACCCAAAACAGGGACCTCGTCATAGCCACAGATTATGTGATCAGATCATCAGGCATGTTGTTGCAGTGTGGTTTTGAAGTGCCGATGTTCAAGCGCCGACCTAGCGCCCCTTTTGACCAGGGTAGATCCATTGAGTCTGTGTCCTGCATGATTGCTGCGTCCAAGGAATGGTTCGAAGTCTGGCGGGAGCCCTCCACGACGGTCTCAGACGCCATCCCAGAGACTGCATCGCATGGCCGGTCTGGAGTTGGGCATAGCGCGGGGCTCAGCGACTATCTTTTTTGAGCATAAGGCTGTAGCCGAGTAGAGCACCGAACCAGAGCCTCGAGCCTTTGAAGCTTTGTCGGGGCAAGAGGCTCAATCAAGGCCGCCAAGTTGTCCAAGAAGTTTTGGTGCCGCTACACTGCCTTGACTTTACGGCCAGGCTCCCCCTTCGAGCTATCCCGTAAACAATGCGAGCTTGCGCGACTGGACGGTGGTGTGGATATCCACATGAAGCACTTCCTGGAGGCTGGTCGAGTCGGGTGGGACACCAGGCTTCCGAGTGCCATGTTTGGCAAAGTAGGACTGCAGCACAGCCCCAACCACGTGTGTCAGCCAACGCTCGGCACCGAAGCGGTGCATGGTAACATGTGCAGTTAGGCACCTAAGCGTTTAGTTCCAGGTGCTTTCTATGCCGTCTGTCCGTCTGTCTAGAAGATCAAGCGACCATCACAGTCAGGCGCAGTATTCGGGACGTTTTGTCGGCCGAACCTGCAGAGGCGGCGAGCATCTACACCACAGTGCTGGGTCAGTTGGGTACTGCATCGTCAACAGTCGCGGCGGACATCGGCAAGAATCTGCGAGGTTCCATGGCTTCCAGTTACTTGCTGGTTTATCCTGGCTTCGGATGTTTGTTCTGAACCCTTTTTGAAAGGGGTCACTGAACCACTTTGCACAGGAGTCCAACAGTGCCTCAGCTCGGAGCCCGAAACAAGAGCGACATTGAGGGGTTTCCTCGATGTGGAGAAGGCATGTGGGGCCCATGCGAGTGATGAGGTATATCCGCACAGTGAGCTGCGCTGCCTAAAGGCCTACAGCTTAAAGCGGGTCGGGGGAATGCCCGTCGGCAAAGGACAACAGGCATGTCTAAGATTGACATGCTCGATTCCGAAGGATTAGGATTCGAGACGTGGATGGGATTGTCGTGCCTTGAAGGCCACCGGCCAACATCAAGTTGCTGAGCCGAGTCATTGCCAGCTCGCCGACCCCAGCGGTGCTGCGGTCTGTTTTAGCGAGGCCGAGGCTTCGAGGTCTCAGTCGGATGCCCTTTTGTGAAGATACGAGTTGGGGATACCTCCATGCACGGCAGGTGCTATGCAGTTGCAGTGGCTGCTGCGCGGCCTGGGCTTCTACGCTCGTTTCTTGCAGCTGCAGCTGGAAGGGTACCCTGAGGCTGCTGCAGAGGCCATGTCCAGTGCAATTCCCTCTCTTGTTTATCGCCTGGCCCTCCCCCTGCCCATGCAATCAACCTGCCTGGCGTTTTCTGTCAGGCCTACAATGAGACTCTTGCGATTCTCGGCATAAGACGTAAGTGACAGAAGACTCTTCAGAAGACTTGCAAAGGAAGATTCGGAAGGGCATGTGTCTTTGGTGTTGCACGGAGGCAATTCATAACGAGTCGATGCTGCCCTGCACACAATCCCGAGAGGTGGGTAGGTGTTCCGTAAGGCGCAAATCTGTGGATCGCAGGCAGTACCACAGCACGCTCACAGCCTTCACATTTAAGTTCCTCATCACGGCGATGCCTTCGAAGGAGCCCATCGAGTTCGTCGCAGGTTAAAAGAGCCACTTCAGTTTGTGCACCACCTTTATCAAACGTTGCTCCACGACGCCGCCGCTATCGTGTCACACCCGTTTCGTAATATTCTGTGTGGCGTTCTTAGGCGATCATTAAAGGTAGAACAGAAAGTGGTTGTGACTTGCGAAGTCGCCACACAGCAGACGACGTGTGCCTGTCTGTGTGTGTGGGGAGGGAGGAGAAGTGTTCTGCGGCAGGATTCTCTTTGCGCCCTTCCGGCCCTTAGTGGCCCGGGAGCTGCGGCCGAGGCAGCAGCAGCTGCCAGTGAGCTCTCCGCTTTGGTGCCGGGGCCAAATTGTGCGGGAGTTACAGTTGCCATGTCGTGTCGGCAGCTGCAGGGTTTGGATCGTTTTGGCACCTATGCATGCGCAGACTCAGGGCCAGCATGCGCGAGTTGGCGGCAGTTCAGCACAGATTGTTGCGTGCCTCGGAGTCAGGTGAAGACCATGGTCACGACCTGCCAAGAGCAGCAACTCTGGCAGAGTCATCGTGTTTGAAAGCGCTGTGGAAAATGGAAGCCCCGTGTGAAGTTTGCGAGGTGTCCAGTGAAGTTTTCCAAAGCCCACGTCCCGCTCATGCGCATGCCGGCACGCAGGAGGAGCGCGACTTCAGCCTTGACTCGCCAGAGCACCGGCCTCAGGGTCGTGCATTAGGCCATTGGGCCCTAGGCTCCGATGCTTTGAACTGAAGATAGGCCACCGAAGCAGAAGGTCGGCATGTGTTGACTGCAGTCGTTGCCAGTTGCCCATGTCAGTCTAGTAGAAAGCCTTCCCACTGCGCAAGGCTGCATATGCCTTTCCTTCAGTCCTCGTGCCAACCGTTCTTCCCAGGTGTGAGCAGCACCAGTACAGAACACGCACTACATGCAACATCTGCAAGCAGCAAAGGAGGTAGTGGCAATGTCCTGCTTGGCCATGGATCGCTGGCCTCCGAAGCGTGCACATGGCAGGGCACTGGAGGCAGAAGGTTTTTCGAGTTCGAAGTTGCACCGCACCTGTTTGACTGTCGGTTTAAATCTTGAAGCGAAACTGAGAAACCCGTGGCTATGACTATGAGAAAAGCTAGAAACAGAGCCACCCAGTCTTGCACTCGCCGGCCGTACCGTCTTTTGACCCTGCTGGGCCACAGCGTACCTTGGATGTGAATGTAAAGGTGGCTGCAGTACCAGTGGAGGTTTTGACTACTGACTTGTCGTCGTCATCGCCTAGTAACAGTAGCAGTCTCAGCAACAGGAATTCGCAGTAATTAGCCGTCGCAGTGGAAGTAGCACTTGTAGCGGTAGTAGTAGTGGTGGTAGTAATAGTAGTATCAGTAGCAGTAGTCGTAAGAGCAGCATCCGCAGGAGGGGCAGTAATGTAGCAGCAGCAGCAGCAGCAGTATATAGTTGTACGTAGTCGGTGGTGGGTGGTAGGTGGTGGTAGGTTTTGGTAAGAGGTGCTATAGTACCAATAGTAGCAAACGGAGGGGGCTAGGTTTAGCCAGTATTAATCCACAGTTCTCCGCTTTGGGGAAGTGTGCGCAATCCGGTCAGTTTGGCAGCTTTCGGTCTGGTTTTAGTTTTGGCCAGAGTGCCGAAACCACGACCAATTCGCAGTCCAGTTTTGGGCAGGTTTGGAAATCTCCAAAAAGCAGAATCCTGATCAGACTCCAGTTTGGGCCGTGCAGGTTTCAAACCTCAAAAGCCAGATCTAATTGCCTCGTAATGTAGTGCAGCGCGGCCCTCAGGATTCGAAATATAGCTCACAGACCATGAGCCAGCCGTGTGACCACCATGCCACGGGGAGACTTCCGCTGCAAGATTACATGAGTATCAGCCTGGAAATAAAATCGTAACAGCTTCAGGTTGGGGGCAGCGAGTAAAAAGCACCAGAACTCACGCTAGTGGCACTGGATATTAATATGACATGAGTAAAGATTCAAAAGACGCTCGTAGTAGTCATGATATTGGAAGAGCAGCGGTAATAGTATTGAATTAACGACAGAAAATAGTGGCGAGTTGGTTGTGTGCGTGGTGTGGCAGTACAGTTACGCAGTGCACGGGTGCACCTTGTTCTTGTTATGGTTGTAGCAGTCGTCGTCGAGTCGTCGCCGTTGTTGTTCTAGACGTAACTAGTAAGAAGTATAAAGCCGTAAGCGGTTGGCAGTAGGCAGCAAGCATAGTGGCACTCTGGTGGCACTGGTAGTTGCAGCGGTGGTACCAAGGGATTGTGAAGGTGGAACCGAACTGTTTCACTTTTCCTTGGCTGAAGGGGTTCAGGACTAGCGCATTGCAGTCCCTGCTCAAAAGCCAGATATAGCGTAGCTTTTTGTTTGCTGGTTCATGTCTTTGGAGGCCGCCACGCAACCGGTTGCAGACGGGCCGCACCTGCGCAGCCGACAATCTGTCGGCTTTGGTGAGACACTGCTGCGGGTGCCGGGGTTTTGGCGGAAACCGAATGTGGAGTGAGCGAGCATCGTGAGAGGCGTTCTGAGGTGTTCGCGTTATGTATAACCTCAAAGGTGAAATGACAGCGTTTGAATTGTCTGCCTTGGTCGCAGACTGCCAATCCTTTAGCCGTTGCAACCCGACTTGTGAGGAGATGCCGCTGCTGCTGGTTCCGAAGGACAAAATCTCGCGGCCCTTTCTTATCAACATACATCTGCAAGCTTCCCGTCCACTCTGCTCCATGAACTTCAGGGTTTGGCACTGACAAGGATGCCACGGCATTTCTCCGCAGTGCAGCTCCTGACGTACTACTACAGGTTCACTTAAGGGTTGGCCTAGCCCGTTGGGACATGAACTGTTTTCCCTGCAAGTCGATTCGAGCCGGACGGTCCGACAGAACGTTGCTTCAGTACATTGCTGTGTGTTGAATATAATGTAGCCTTCGAAATTTTGCGATCCTTCACCCAAATTTAAGGGTCTTGAGAAATAGTTGGTGCATGCATCCGCATTCGCAAGAGCTTTTGGACAGTCTGGTCGCCAACTCGAGCTCAAATTTGAGGGGCCCTGGTCGTTACAGTCACCAGACAGACTAGACACATACACGGCATTTTCGTTTTCATGTGCACCCACATACACCTACGTGACTGCGGTGCCTTCAGCACGTGGAGGCTGCGGCTCGCCTTGGTGACAGCCAGCGCCTCGCCAGCTTTGTGGCCTTCAAGCAACTTGAATTAACAGGAGGCTCGGTTGCTGTCAGCAGCAGTAGGCCTAAGGCGAGCAGCATGTGCAGAAAATAGAGTTCTTCGGGCAGGCTTGCTTTAGGCAGTTTGGCTGAAGAAGCGGTCCATCGTGGCTTTCGGACATGTGTTGCTTTTGCAACTGGCGTTGGTCGGGGCACCGGTTCAGCCTCAGACTGCGAATGCCGATACGCATCAGCACATCAACTGCGAAAGCTCTGAGGCATCTTCCAGTACAGCAGCAGGAGGCACTCTTGCCTTCAATGCTTGTGATGGTTCAGCAGATAGCCATCAAAGAGCAGGGGTCGAGGTGCAGACAAGGCTCGGATCCAGGCGTTAGCAGTGTCAAACTGGCTATGGTGTAACCTGGAGTCTAAGCCTCGAGCCTGAAGCCTCAGGCTATCGTCCCAAGCCAAAAAGCATCTGCCTAGGCTGGACTGATAAGAAGCAAGTCTGCCAGCAGGCTTTGCTTGCGATGGGTGTCCCCGAAGGCAGTTGCAGCATTCGCGAGACCGAGCAACCTGGCAGCACAAACCCTAGATGGTGAAAGGAGGATTCCATTCGACGCAGACGCTGTGAAGATGGCAGATGTGCTCAGCTGTTCTTGTGTTCTGAGATGTTGCCATGTGCGACATATGAAAGTCCTGCAAGAACAACCTTGGCTGCGGTACGGCTGAGGCGTGTGATCCACGCGTTCCTGCAGGACTTCCCTGTGTGGCTTGTCGGTGTTGCTCCAGACCAAGAGGACAGGAGGATGCTGAACGTGGTCTGGATCGACAAAACACTTACTTTACGCGCAGGACGAAGCCACACTTTTGTCAGAATGCCTCCATGTCTTAACGGGTAGATGTGTGCACACGGCCACTGAACTGCCGGTACAGCATCACTCTCTCTCTCTCTCTCTCTCTCTCTCTCTCTCCTCCCTCTCCCTCTCCCTCTCCCTCTCTCCTCTCTCTCTCTCTCTCTCTCTCTCTCTCTCTCTCTCTCCCTCGCTCTCCCCCTATGTGTTTGCGTTTCCCGCAGTGTCAGAAAGTGAATCATTCAAGGCACGGAGTATCGCGAATTCCAGAAATGTGCATGATGGCACTCCGGGAACGACAGACACCACGTGAGGTTTGCAGCTGCTCTTGACTGGAAGCTTTTCGTTGAGGTGGTCGGCATCGTCAGCGAGCCTGGTCAAGCGAAACAACATATTGTGCTACTCGTAACACCAAGGTTCCGCTTAAGGACTCCAACCACATCAGCTTCCTATACGTAGAGCACTGTAGCGAGTGGAACATTGCAATCGGTTTCCGCGTGTGCATGACGTGCCTTTGGCGAAAGCATCGGGTTAACTCTTAGACACCGAGGAGCGGGGGAGCCGCTTGTCCAATGGTGACTACGCTCTCTACAAGGCATCTCCTGGTTTAAAGGCTTTAGCCCGGCCCTTTGGGAGACTGCCATGCGCCCGACATGGCACGACAACTTTGAGAATTCGGCATGGGACATGGCAATTGGCAATCCTGTCATCCTGCGGTGCCGGAGAGCTCCGGCTTTCACTTGTCCCTGAGTTGATGGATTTGGCTTCACACAGCTGCCAACCCAACGCCGTCGTGGAGACTCTCGGCGAAGGCAATTTTGCCGAGGGTGCTGGTAAGCAATACTTGATGCAAGTGTTTTTCTGGTGCTTTTATCGGTGCTGGCGGCTACATCATTTTAATTTCCCCACGAGTGTCCAGCGGGAGAATATGTGGCATGTTGCAAAGGCATTCACATGCGGCCTCGTGACATGTGCTGCAGCGCTGTTGACTCAGACGGTCTGCGGGAGCTGCGCTGCCTCAGCTATGCCGGCATCGCGGACACCCGCGAAGTGAGTTTCTAGATCTACGTGAGTGACTCCAGTGCAATAAGGCGTGATTTGTTACCAGTGTGTCGGGGTTGAGGCAATAAGGCGTGATTTGTTACCAGTGTGTCGGGGTTGAGGTACTGTGCTAAGAACTGCGATTTGAGGCTGGCCCAGCAAGATTGCACGCAAAGTGTTTTCGTTGTGAATCTCGCATGCATGGTTGCCCGCTGTGCTGCAGCACGCTGCAGCTCTATTGAGTTACTGGGAGTCGTTGGACATTTTCCCAGCAGCGTTTGAATGGCGCCCCATGTCGCGTTTGCATGCCTTTGCCACATTAATGGCCCCGCAGTGTGCATTGGGGCGTTTTGCTCGCCGAACTGTTGTAGAGACACCTTCCGGGATTACATTGCAGTATCTCAACCTGTGTCATGTCCAACCGAACTATGGGCATGAGGAGAACGAAGAGATCACGACAAGCTACGTGGCAGAGGAGGCCTTGGAGTCGAAGCCGGGATGGTGGATGGTTAACTTAAGACAGGCTTCCTTCCGGGAATCCTTTCCGCATCGCGCCAAAACAGGTCTTGCTCCAGCCCTCGGAACCCCGACATGCGGCCATCCGTGCAGAGCGTGGAGGCTGGCAGTGTGCCTGCGCGCAACTTACTGCAGTGCAGTCCGGTTCTTCGCCTTTTCATTGTGTGCTCTCCACTTCTTGACCAGAAGTCGCATGACGAATTTGGGCCTTGCGGAGTTCTCAAGTCCAAGGCAACCGATGCAAGCTCGACGGCGAGGCCATGTCGCAGCAAAAGAGACGAACCAGGGTCGGGGTCGGTGAGACAAACACTGCGAACTCCTATGCCGCCAAAAAACAAACCCTCGTGGCATAAGAAGAAGTCTGAACAGCTTCGAGAGAGTGAAAAAAAACAAAATCACAAAGCTTTGGAAAGCCTCCCTACTTGCAGTAGCAAGAAACAAATGCATTTTTCCAACAAAAAGAAATCTGGATCCAAGATTTGCCAGAAACCGACAAAGCAGCACGTTAAACGCAGAATCTATTGGTTTTTGTTCTTTTCATCGAAAATTTGATGGAAAAGACGAGCGTTTGTGTTGACACCGTTCTTGTAGAACTCCGCTCCAACAACCAAGCAAACTTCACAAAGTTCAAAGCTTCCAAGCTGCTGCACACTGAAACTCTCAAAGTCTTCACCCCGTGGCTGAAATGCACGTACCACAGGTGCAACAGGTGCAATGGACGTCACAGAAAGACAGTTTTAACATGTGCGTATTGATTCAGAAAAAATTGGTCCACCATCGGCAAGAACCAAGTGGCCGTCGGGTGGACAGTGGATAAGATTGTGAAGGTTTGTGTTTGTGGCAGTTTGGCAAAAAATCGAACGCAGACTGCGTTGAACATGTTGCCTCCGCCGATGAGCATCAGTGGCGACTAGCACCACGCATCGCAGCCATGTCGCTTTTGTCTGCTTTGCAGAGGGAGTTCGCTCCGCTCGGGTCCACAATCGTCAACCGTCTTGAATTGGGGCCAAAAGGCCCTAAGCTGTCGATCTTTCGATTTTTGCAGGTTGCCAATGACCTCCGTAGTGTTTCAGCCCAACTTCGCCGTGGCGCCCTGGCTGAACTGATACTGAAAAGTCTAGAACTCGCTGTCTCACTGCACGCGACGCACATGTAAAGATGCCCGTATGCAATAAGCCGTCCGTCACTTTGCTGTACGGAGCAGACAGTTGGACGCCCTCCGATGAAGCATGGAATGGCACAACAACAGATGCGAAGACGGCTCCCTGAACAGGCATGGAGGTGCCTCCCTTGAGGGAACGTCTGCAGGCGCAGCTTCTTGTTCATGGCCGTGTGCTGGAAGATGCTGGAAGGCTACTGTAGACCTGTTCTGATTCCAGCACTGAAGAGAGGGTTGCGGGTGCGGGCCGCCTAGTGGGGTGGGCTTGCAGGCAAAAGTGTTGGTTTCCAAAGCGTGGGGTGTGAATGGGTTTTAAAGTCGCTGGGCTCCCTGGCATTAAAGCGCAGGGTTTGGGGCTTGGAGCAAAACCCCTCTGTGTTTGAAGAGACCGTGATGCAGGCGCTAAAAGCCATCGATACGGCGCTGCCCTTTGCTATGGCGGCGAAGGCACTGCAGAAACGGGAGTCGAAGGATGCTTTGGAAGCATGCTCTTTGCTCCAGCTAGGCTTTCGAACAGCTGTTTGCCGATTGAATGAGAACAGACCGCTTTCGCGGCAGGCACGTGTGCGCTTCTCGCTGGCACAAGCCTGCGAGGCCTGCCTCACTTGCACTGACAGTATCGCAGCCGCATGTCGTATCATGTAACTAAGAAACCGGCAACGGACATTGATGCTTTAAATCTGCAAGGCCGCTGTAGATCAGGGGCTGTTTGAGGAGGCCAAGATGTTGCAGCTTGGTTGAGATGGTTGCGCGTATTCTAGTTCGTTTCAAGCTGGTGCTGGAATGAGTGCACAATAAGATGCAGCAAGGTACGAGACAGCCTTGGATGAGACGGAAATAGTGCTTGGGCAGAAGGGCCTTCGAAACCTTGACTCTTGGCTGGACTTTCGGCCCGCTGGCATGTGTGTCGGATCCATGCATCCTCTGCTGGACACAAGCAGAAGCATTTGCGGTACACTTCAGGCCAACATAAAGCGGCGGCTGGAGCAGCTGCTGGAGACAATGGCGTGATACCACGCTGTTTGAAAAGATTCGCACTGCTGCAGCACCTGTACAGTACCAGAGCTTCAGTCGCCACCCACACGCCAAGTCTTGTGCAATCCTTTCTCAGCTTGTTCGTGACTAGCGGACTCCGATTGCTTCTTGCAACCTTCTTGCACTTGAGGTTCTATGCTCAACACACCTTCATTTTCTCTCTGATGGGGGCTTCTTGGCTTACACCTGGGGCGTGATACAACGTTTCCTTGTCTTTGTCTTTGTCTGGGCCTCTGTTGTTCGCCCCTTTCTTGTGTGTCTGCCTGTCTCTGCCCATCAGTCTCTCTCTCTCCGTCTCTCTTTTCCAGCTCTATCCGACTTGGCCCTTCTCTCTCTGAGTGTCCCTCCGCCGCTGCTCGTCGTTTGCTGTTTTCTGCGTCAGTCTCTCTCCAACCGTGTCTCTGTGATGCTCTCTCTCCTTCTGTGCACTCTATTGTTCAATCTTGCTCAGTCTCGTTCGTCTGTCTGAGTCTGACCGATCGTCTCGGGCTATCTGTCGCCACTGAGGTGATTATGGATCCCAAAACTGAGTTGGGAGGCATGGCTCATTCTCTGCCATTGCTTCTTGGAGAGTTTGCACAGTTCACAAACTCAAAGTATCGAAGTGGCATCCAGTATCGAGAAGTGGCAGGCCGGATCGTCGAAAAGGTCAACGATCTGATTTTCCGAGGTGCTTTGTCGTCCAATCACTGTTCGCCAGTGTGCCCTTTTTGGAGCTGCCAAATGAACTCAGGTGTTCAGGTCGTCGTAAGTCATAACTCATACCTCATATGGCTTTCCAAGTGCTTCGCCTGACCCCCATGCCAGGAAAGCGAATCATTTTCATCACTAACAACTCGAACAAGACTCGCAGCGGTTTGATGGAGGCATCCGGTCCATTGTGGAGGTTGTGAAGCATTCTCGAAGTGCCCTCCATGCGTCGCATGCTTGCCTTGTCTCATCCACCAGGAGTTGGAACAGAACTACCGCATCAAAGTGTCGGCGACCCAGTTACCTCTCGAACCATCAGTGCCTGGTTCCGCCAGCCTGTTTGTTTCCAACCTGCAGAAGACAGTTGCACTGTCAGGCTGCATACCGCCATGTCTCAGTCCCTCTCTCCGGATGCTTGGCGAAAGCCGAAGGCAGGGCTGTCAGCATGCACGGCTGTGATCGCGTTTGCTCAGTTGTCCTGATTGTGCAAACATCATAAGCCTCATCGACAAACAGCCGTCGAGTGCTATGCTGCCCTGGAAAGGAGAAGTCGCCAGCCATGGTCAAGATCACCCATCAACACATAGTCACCAGTGCCAACACATGTGCCTGGTTTTTGCCGCTTGTCCACTGAATTCAGCCTGGTCTTGGAGTTGGCGTGCGATGAGTATCTCATGTTGTGGGAGGGTGGCGCACCATGATCTCAGGAAGCAGAAAGGCATTGAGAGGCCCTTTGTGCCTCGGCATTTGCTTGATGGGAGTTGGTTCCTAGCACCGGCGCTGGTCAGTTTCCACGTGCTACCGCGCGCTGTCGCGATGTGACTTCAACCTCAGGTCATTTGCTCTTCGCTCGCTCTGTGCGAAGAGCTTGCTGCGAACTCAGCTTGAAGCATCGCCGTCGTTCAGCCTCAAAAGCGAGCTTTCGGCCAGGAGCTGACAAAGTACGGATTTCTTCCGAACTTCCGCAACTACAAAAACATTCGGGAAGTCAGAAGCCTCCTTGGCCCCGTGCTGTAGACTCATCAGAAGTCGTGTTGTTTTCTTTTTGCAAATGGTCCATGCGTGTACAAAGAGACGCCCCCGTTAACCATTACATTCGCAAGTACCACCGATGCATCTTCCGCAGGTGCGAAGCTAGGAAGCGTCCAGGCCGAGAAACGTAGGGGAAACGACAGGGTGACGATTCTCACGGCCACGCCAAAGTTCATGGCAACAAGTCGCGCTATGACTCGCTGAGCAGCTCCGGGCATTATGTGTTGAAAGGTTCAACAGACCTGGATCAGCGCCTGCAGCACCAGGGGGAGCAAAAGAGACGAAGCAGCAGCAGTGGTAGCAAAGCACTGGACAGCACATGTGACAGGGAAAGTAAATTACCAGCACTAGCTAGCAATTGCACGGGTACGCTCATAATATTGTCGTTATCGTCTCACGCACAGTGCCTGCAGCACCTTCAAGCTCGGTACCGGTCGGAATGTGCCAAGGATGCCTTTGGAATTTCACACTACACTGCGACGATCCACAAGCCCTGAACTCAGCATCCGGGTCGTAGTCGTAGTCTGAGGAGATCAGGAGGCGAGCATGCATGCTGGTGCCACGTAGTTCTGACGATGTGTGTGTGTGTGTGTGTATCACCGCAACATACCGCGACCGATTCTTGTGCCAGTCTGCGTGAATCTGCTCATACGGCCATCTCAGGGATGGCAAACCGAAGCAGGAGTACCTACAGGAGGCCACTTGGCCATCCTGGGGTATCCTTGGTCATTGTTGGAGGTTGGGAATTCAAAGGCGGGCGAGGCCAAACATCGAGGCTTTCAGAGCACGGTGCGGTTGAGTGCGGTCGACAGTCACCCATGCAATTTGGCGAGCAAGAAACTAGAAAAAGGGATAGACTTCTTTGGGTAAAAGCTGCAGTATATGAGAGAGCACACTTCACACTGCAGTGTTATGTATGAGCAAGCCAGGTGACTGACAAGAGGATCTGCGATCTCATCGCCAAATCTCCCGAAGTGGATGCGGTGGTGGTGGGATGGGACCAACACTTCACAGCTTCTTGGCATTATCCTGCCCCACCCAGATATCCAGTCTCAGATCCTTTTCTAATCTCAGGGGCAGCCACGAGGCATGAAGGAGTGAGGGAGTGTGCTTCTGGGCTGGGGGCCGAGCCTGAGCCTAAGGCTTTGAAAGCTGCAGCGCCTTTTCTGAAAACTATGTCTTACACTCGTCTCCCTCGAGCTCTATAGGGTCAACTTCGTGATGTGTGGCTTCGAACTTGCTGGCGAGTACGGTCTTCAAACGTCCGGCGGTCTTTCGATTAACACGTCTTACAGTGCCGCGCTGTGGGGATGCTCTGCACTTGGAAAGAGTGGTTGCGTTCTTACATGCCCCTGCATGCTCCAGCGACACAGCTGCTGCCTGTGTTGCATCGTTGGCCAGTGAACTCGCAGCCCCATGATTCATGCTTTCTTCTGTCGGGTGCCCCAGCCGCAGGTAGCCGCGCAGTATGTCAAATGGTCTCAGGCCCGGCATGGGCAGGTCTTCCGAGGTGTTCGGCATGCAGGTGTCGTCTGTGCGAATCATAGGATAATCCCAGGCTAACCCTATGTAGGCTTAGCTGTGGTATTAGCTGTGGTTACAGCTTACAGTGGGAAGAGCCTTGAGGTCGTGAGCCTTTGAGTCATGTTCGTGCTCGCAGCGATATCACATGCCAGAAGCACTCATTTCCACGAATTCATGCTCTGGCATCCATTCACAGGAAAACGGAATGGAGCTGCCTGTCATAGCCTGTGGTACCCTCAGCCGAGACCAAAAAGTCGGAGGGATGTGCGGTGTCCGAGCAACATTCGCGAACCACCTGTGATGCCCAGGACAGTTCCCAAAAGTAGCTGCTAAGATGCGTGGTTTAACCAGGCATCGCACATGACCAGAAGCTCGAGTCCATAGCAATGGCCTGTAGAAAAGCTGACGGCTACCGTCTCCCCAGGCTCCATGGACCGAAGTGGAATCTTGGGTGTCTCGTCCGATTCCTTCTGTCAGAGCCGGGGCCTTGGAGTGCACGTTCCATTCTTGGTCACGTCTTCGAAGTCGTCGAGTGTCAGTAGGCTTCTGCCTGCTTTGAGATGGCCAATTGATCTGTTTCTGGTGACAGGGCTCATTCACCCCGCAATCCCTGCATCAAGGCCAGGGCTTCAACAGCAGGAAGATCCGCGCTGCAGGGGCCCAAGCCACTGCATGCTTTTCGTCTCACGTGCAGCACCGACGAGTCGGGATATCGGATCCTTTTCTTTAGTCTTGTTGGACATGACCTTGGCTTCCTCAGCACACGTGCGCCGAGTTTGGAAACGGAGCTATGGCAACTGCGATTCAACAATGCATTGGAATTGAAGAGGCCCGTTACACTTGCGGCTCGAGATAGCCGTATCTGGGTTCTTGTTGTGCCAGGCAGGTTCTCAGGAAATTTGGAAAACTAACTTTGCGCAATTTGGAGGTCTTCGAGTACAAAGCCTGTCAAAGCATACGTATGAGGGGCAAGCACTTCTCATCGAAAATTTGCTCTCGAGTCTCGAGTGACCCTTCTTCCAAGTGGCCAACGTAGTTAATTAATTACCACTTCTTGTCGTTGTTGCTTTCCGATCTTGAGACTGCATGCACATGTGACAGGTCGTCGATGTCACATGCTCAGCTGTCTTGTGCGCTTGGTGCTTGTGGATTGTATTCATCCCCGCTTCAAGCTTTTCAGAGCGGTATAAGAAACTCCTGTGGCTGCTGCAGCCTTTAAGGTCGGGAAGCCTTCGCTGATGTTGCTCGAGCAGCCGTCGCCTCAGAATTTGGTGCGTCAAAGCGCTCCTACATCACAGTCTTGCACGCAGAAACCTGCATAGAGCGGTTGTTGCTGGCTTCAACAGCATGCCTGAAATTATTCAGCCATCCGGACAAGATGGTTCCAACATGCCAATCTTGAGTTGCACCTTGTGGCTCGACTTTCTGGACTCTCTGGCCTAGGCTCAGAAGGTCCTCGGATGAAGGAGGCCTGGGCGTCAACTTCTCCAAAGCTGTTGTGGCTCCTTGCTTGCAAAAGAAGATGCCGAAAGCTGCTGCACCCAGACTTGGGCATTCAAAGCTCTTCACATAAATCCGACCGTTGTCCAAGTGTGAGGGTCGAAAAATGCACTCAATACTAGTAGCCCTGGCTTCGGGGCTATCCTGTGCAACCAGCTTAGTCGAGCCGGCTTTACAGAAAATGAGCCGGTAGACTTGCCCGTAAAAGACGTACTAGCCGGGCAATGCGG